CTTCTTCGCATATTTATCATGTAACAATTTTAAAATAATAAACAAGAATATTTTCAAAAATTTAATCTAATTTAATTCTTTATCTCAGTCAGACATACATATCATGTATGTTTAACTTTATTTTGCACTAATCAGATTTCGCATGGAATGCTATATTATAGTAAACATATAATAATCTTTTGGATATTCTACTTCATATAGAACTTTCACATCAAACATTTACGTTAGTCAATCAGGATTTCAATGATACTATATATATATATATTTTTTTTTACGGCAATGAAACAGTAATTTTATAAATGTTCGTAATAATGTAATATATATATTTCTATGAAAATCTGTCTGGCAATATACAATCTTTAAGAATGAAAAATTAACCAACTAAATTGATTATTCTGTAAAAGAAGGAACAAATGTCAGGAAATGATCGTAAAAGCATACAATGGTTCAGTTGCAATAACCTAGGAAGAGAAACAGGTGCTACTCGGTCGTAACGGTTGTCGTGGTTCGTTTCAAACGAACCATGGCCACCTTTTAGTTTCGGCGTCATTAAACCTTCTCTCTTTCCTTCGTTCAAACTCATTTAAAAACGAAGAAAATTTCGAAGGTAATTTGATATTACCAACTGCCGTTTTCGTTCTTTGTTCAGTATCATATGATACAATGATAAAACCTTTATTTGTAAATTTATTGCTAGAATAATATTTTAGTAAAACAGATATTACTTTTTAAATTTCTTTAATGTTCAATTCATTTTTCTAATATTGACTTCTAATGATACGATCATATCATTATTAAGAAGAATATAGAAAGAGTCAAGAATGTATGTAAACATACATGATTCGTCATTCACGGTAGTTGGTACGGTTCACGTGCATGATCTATCATTCGCGTAACAATTTTACAATTCATACCGTAGAAATGCCGATCCGTAATGCTATTTTCGCGCATTCTCGATTGCTTAGAAAAACGTTTCCAGTATATATATGGAGACAACTTTGTTTTTCTTATTGCAATTCAAAGTGTGAAGAATGGGATGTTTTTGATCGATTCATAGACAAATGATACATATTATCATTTGTCTAGCACTTTAGGAAGAAGAATAATAGATAAATAGAAAACAGTTATAATGAGGAAGTATATTTTATCGAAAATTATTTTATTTTTTGTTAACTAACCTCACTTTTCCATCAATTAAAAAAATAATCCAATATTTTGTAGTTCTAATCATTTTGCAATAAATACATTACCACTTCTATTATGCACGTTTCAGTAAATAATTTATCAGTTTTAGTAAAAGTAAACTCTACTCTAATGAGTAAATAATTAGACTAGATATAGATAAATAATTGCTGAATAAATTTTTTATGATAGTTTGTTTCGCATATGATTTATAACTACAAGTTGATTATTCAATTAATGAATGCTTCTTATATGGAAATTAGAAGTGCGCAAAATACATGGTTGACCGGATATGTAAACCTTTTAAATAAGTTACCAATTTGTTCAGATTATCAAAAATGATTTGTGATAATTCGGAGATTTCGTGAAATGTATCAAGTCACTATAAACGAATCAAAATCAAATGTCAGATTGAATTTAATATTAAAAATAATAATGTCTTTGTTTGTATTAAAGTATACTAATTTCTAAATCTAATCAATATCATAAAAGCTTCTTGAGAAATATCTCTATATAAGTGAAGATATTATACAGCATTTACTTACATAATTTTCTTATACGATTTACAATCTCTTTTTTCAATGGAAAAAAAAAAGAAAAAGATTTACCAAATGTTATTGTTACTGAAGCAAAGACGCTCTGGTGATTCTTATCTTCATTCATCTCTTCGAGTGAAACTATTTGACGTCGTGTTGAATAGGCTCAGACGGTTTTGTCGGGGACCCGTGTCGTCGCCTGTAGTCGGCTCCTCACGATCGTGAATAGAGAGACTCGTACGAAATCAAAGGACCGACAGACTCTTCCTGCTTAGGCGAGATCAACGAGATCTCGTTGAATGGAGACTTTACCTTCTCGCCGTATTATCCTCTAAAGTCACCGGTAAGTCGTATAGCCAACTGATGCAACTCGCGAGTAAAATGAGCTTCTCTTGTTCAAGCTCTGTTTTTAAGAATATCAAGATTATTGTGTAATGTGGTAATTATTTTCGGTTAAATTTATTTAAATAATGATTGAGAAATTATAAATCTTTGTTTTCAAAGTTTTTCAAATGTAAACATAACCTACTTTAAACTCACGTGCAGTGAATATAAATAAAACTTTCGCGCATGTCTAAAACAAAAGACAATGCGCGTGCGCCAGTACTCGTCACTTATGAAACCATATTGTGTCTTATATGTTGAGACTCTCTTTGTGTTGTCATTATATTAATTTCTGGCCATTAATTTTAATACATTAAAATATACATATTATTGATCGCAATTGCACATAATTTATTAATTTAATTATTAAAGTAATAAAATATGAAGTACATGAGAGTTCTTATATTAATATATGAACTGAATTTCGAACAATTGGTTCGGTTCATAGGAAATTTTCGTGTTTCTAAATCGGTCGAAATTGCATGCGAAAATGCAGGTCAGAGAACCGTCTAATATTTATTGTTCAGATCGCGCATTCAATCTCATTGTTAATAGCGCGGTGACACGCCATTCTTTATAACTATGCTCCCTAAATTTAGCTTTTAATCTTTTCGATCCAATTAACTCACATAGTGAAATTTATTATGTATACTAAATTTCTATTGGGAATTTAAGATATTTAATATTCAATATAAGTTATAGGTTTTCTTGCAAAAATTTATAGTATTTATTTATTTTTATTTATATAATATTATTATATTAATTATATAATATCTATAGAAAAATTTGTATACAAGTTTTTTTTATTAATAAATATTAATTTCTAAATTTTTTAATGTTAATTATTTTTTTTATAAGATAATTTTTTACAGATGCAAATAATTTTATATATTTATATTATTATTAACTTATAATAATATTTCTTAATTTCTTTAGAAACAAATTATCAATTTTTTTACTAAAATTTATTGTTCTTTAAGGAATATCTAAAAGAGTCTTGGAATTTTATGAAATTTGAGGTTTGATCAGTGTCGTAAGAGTTATATAGCACTTTGAGATGAAATAGTCTAGTGAGGAGTTTAAGGTGCGGCGAAGGAACGTGGAATGTTGCAATGGAAATTTATTGCAGTATTAGTAAATAGATAGATTGATCAAATTTGTGTGCAATATTAATAGTTTATCTATTAATTTTTTTTTCTTTGATTAAATGATTTTGTAAATTAAAAAATCATAGCATAAAATATGATATAAAATAAATAAACTATATTATTGTATAATAATTTTTCTCATCTGCCATCTATAGATCTTTCATTAATTTTATAAGATAATTTCAATTGTGGATGTTGATTATTCTTTCTGTGAAGAAAACGAAAATGGAAAATAAATGTTCGTTCGGAATAACTAACGTAGAAGGCTAAATTTACGCACGTGCACGGAAAAGATCAACGAGGAATTAGTCTAAAACTCGATGTTTTATTGGTATGGTGTTCTTGAAACATATCCAAAGAGGTTGTCGACCTCGAAAGGGATGGACGCAACGGTTTCTTAAGAATTTTTTATTTTGCCTCATTCTAATGAAACTTGTTTAAAATCAACATATATCTAAATATATATTATCAGTTTTGCAGAATAATAAATGCTTAAAATTAAACAATGTTGGATAAAATATGCTTTTGTTTAACTCTTTTTATTTTTGATATTACCTTTGTAATATGTATTATTTACTACATTATTTAACTATTTATTATCATTTATTAATCTAATAATAACTAAATAATAATTAAAAATTACAATTAAGTTAAAAATTAATAAGAAAAAATTAATAAAAGAAAATAAAAAAATTTAACCAATAATAAAATTATTAATTATCGATATCATATTTTTTTTATGTTAATGAATATTAAATTAAATTCAAAAATTTTGTGACATATTTTGCACATAATAAATAAAATAAATAAAATAAAATAAATAAATTAAAATACAATACAATATAATATAATATAAAACATTTAACATTTATTGTATTATATACATATTGTATATATACATATCTATCATTGAAAAACTATTTTCAAAACCTGGACATTCATCGATGTACAATCAGAAATAAAAACGACTTATGACTATACTTAACAATGTTATAAAGAGACATTCAAGAGAATGTCTAAGAATACAAGAAGAATTATTCCAGGAAGAACTTACTCTTCCTCGATTCCAGTTATTATGATTTTAGCGCGTGAAAATTAGTCGCAACCAGAAAATGTCCAAACAAATTATGTTTTTCCATCGAAAATCTATATGGTATGATTCGTTTTACGATCTGGCATGTATAATCGAGCCTTTTAAGAGAGAATCGGCAAACTTCTTGAACACCGGTAATTGCGGTGAAATCGTTTGTGGTTGTTGGAAATTACCAGTATCGTTTGCGGTCGGGTTAGTTGACGTGCGTGAGCGGAGAATTATATAGAGCAATGTTGCTTTGTCGTTTGACGAATATACATAATATGTTTATGATAATATGGTGACAGAATAATAAAAACAGAAAGGGAAAATGGAGAAAGATGATAAATAGAAAAAAATGAGTTATAAGAGTTATATCGTTTATATAAATTTATTTTTAATAATTATACAAATAATTATAAAATAAATAAAATAAATTATTCAACAAGTTAGTAATCAATAGTTAATATATAATCTTTTAATTATGTTTTATAGTCATTTTTTTATTTTCATATTATAATTATTTTTTTATTTTCATATTATGAATATAATTGTTCTCTTTAATTATAATTGTTCTCTTTTAAATTATATTTTTCATTTTTTTTTCAAAAAAAATTTTTTTGTTTAATTATCGCAGATTCGCAAAATATTTTTTTCTTCAATTTATCTTTGTTTTAGGAGTAACAAGTACCTGCAAAAATCATCCATCAGCCGGATATGTGCTGTCGGAGGATTTTTCATTAGCATTCCTGTCTTTCTAACTGGTAAGAGGCTATTCATTCTATCAAATTTTATCTTTTGGAAGATGTTGTCGTATTCATACATGTATCTTTAATTTTCTTTTAACTCAAGTATAAATCATAAAATATAACATAAATATAACATAACATAATTATAATTAAACATTATTTTTGTTATAGAAAAATTCATAATAATTATCTTTTATTAGTCTTAATTAATTCATTCTTAAAGAAATTAAATTGTATATTTCTACCATTAATGAAAAAATTGAAATTCAATTTGAAGTTTATGTAATTTAGTTACATAATTTTCGTTTGAATTTTCGATCGTGATAAACTGATAAATTTTGTTTAAGCATTCAAATTTAAAAAAAAAAATATGTTTTATGCTTTAATAAATTTAAAGAAATTAAAATATTTTTTTATATATTAATATTGTTTTTTGGATTTGTATGATATATATATATATATAATATAAATATAAATATAAATATGAAATATAATAAAAAATATAAATAAAAAATATAAATATTTATATATATATATATATATTTCTAACAATGCTTTCAGGTATGATATTGTACACATTCATCCAGTTTCATTCAACACCGGCAATCGTCACGTCCGTTTTTATAGGTCTTGGCATTGTGTTTTGTGGATGTGCAATGGTTCATAACGTCTTCGTGTGGCAGAGGGTAAATATGTTTTTTCATTCAGAGATCTAGTATGTTCAGAATATATTTTATATATTTTTTATTTTATTTTATTTTAAATATTTTTCAAAAATATAACTTTATTCTTCAAACTTAGCATAATAATATGGTAAATTTCATAATAATATATATTTCGTAAAAATATAATATAATTAATTGCAAAATTTTAGAAAAAATATTAGAATTTTATATAATTTTTTAATTTTAATTGTCTTAATCAATTTATACAAGAAAAAATGTTAAAAAAATGTAAATTTCAAATTTATATTGTAGAATAACTATTTTACTTAAAAATGTCAAAATATTTTATACTGGCAATATTTATATATATAATAATTTCATAATTATATTCGTTATTAAATATTAAGAATTTTTTATTCTACAATTTATCTAAATTTCATATAAAATGTAATCTAACTGAATGCACAAACACTACAGAAATAGCCTTCGAGAATCTTATTACGCAAGCGTACACGATCAGTATATGTTACCTAAAACGTTCAACTATGTCGCGTTATTCTGTTCACAAACTATATTAAATATATGTAATTATTGCCTTTTTTTATCAGTATTTTGTAATTTCAATTACGAATTCTTTGCTTATTCGATAACATACATTTTTTATGTAAAAGAGTTAGATTATTTATTTATGCCATTTATAATTTTTTTTATATTTGAAACATTTTTTATATTGAAAACATCAGAAAATAACATATGTCATTAAATTATATACAACATATTTATATATATTTATATATATCAAAATATTTAATAATATAATTATATTGAAGAAAAGAAAGAATTCAAAAGAATTCAGAAGATAATCCAACATTTTTTTATGTCATATCAAATTCATTGACAGTGGATAGGAAAGACGAATCACATAAATCACATAAATCCGAATCAAACTTACAATTATTATATTATGTCTTAGAAATCGGTTTATAAAGTTCTATTAAAACAATATTATTTTTCTTTTTTTTCTTTCAAATTCGAAAATATATATATAAAATACATTATGATCAAACTAACTCTTTTATTATTATTATTATTATTTTCTAGGAGAAGACGAACGCTGTGAAGGCGTTAGCGCGCGAACAATGTGAAGCGGCGGTACAATTGCAACGTCAACAGCAATTACAGCAGCACCAAAATCAACCTCAATTGCAACAGCAACAACAATTACGTGGTCCATTGACTATCCACTATGCTGGCTGTCCTACAAAAGTTGGCTCTGTGACAAATCAACTAAATGCCAGTCATACAATACACAGTCGTGCGACACAATACCAACATTATCATCATCATCATCATCATCGACACGTGTCAATGTCCCCACCGCCCTTGTTGCTTTCATCGCCAGCTTCGATCGCAGCGACGCACAATCATTTAAATGTGAGCGGACATAGAAACATAGTTACGCCACCAGATACACCGGCGGATAGATCGCCACCAAGTCCTGGAAATAAATTGAATAGATCGCAACACTTGCCGCGGGAAGCGACTGGCAGTGTTAGCCCTGGACTTCCAGCTGCCACATTGGATTTAAGTAGTGCAGCAACTACTAATAGTCCTCATGAATTGTCTACATTGGTTTAGAATCTTGATTCAAAGATTGTTTTTAATGTAGAATTGAAGATTAATGATTGATTATTGATTTTCTAATTAAGTTTTGATTAAAGAGAAAAGCATTTCATTATTTTTAAAATTATAGACTCATTTCAAAATTTGGATGATTTAATTGGTAGAAAAATCGTTTTTCGTGAACGGTTTGGTTAAGCGATTAATTCATTTCTTTTCCTACAGTGGGCACTAGTATACAATGTCATTTCTGTGGTTTCCCGGTTAACCTGTTGCTTGTAGAATTATATAATCTTGTTGTTTAATATTTATATTTTGTAAACTTTTTAATTTTTTTTGGATTTTTATTCAGTTTTTCTAAAGAACTTTTTTTTTAAACCATAAATTCCAAGTAATCGGAAATATGGAGTAATTGTTTCAATAAACAAATTCAGTCAATTAGACTTTTTATAATGAAGTTTGTTATAGAAAGAAAAGTAATTTAATGTTATTTCGAAAATGAGGAAAAAAACATGGATTATTATGAGAAATAGAAAAACAAAAAAGAAAGTAAAATTGTTCGTTAATATTAATTACAAATAAAATAATTTTTAAGAAAACGTCCAAAAGACGTAACGAAAAAAATAACTAATTTATATTCGCGTGTATCTTGCCATTACCATTTTATTACTATTATTGATATTGTTAATATTACTTAATTACTATTATTATTAATATTAATATTGTTACTATTATTATCATTAATGTTATGAAACTTCTAGTCCTAGGTTACTTTCGCCTTCACGAAAGAATAATTTTTTACTGTTGCGCGTAATTCAGCGATTATAGAATTGTCGTTGTGCATGCACAGTAGAAAGAAAATTGGCGAAGTGCAAATCTTGAACTATAAAGAGTAAAAAATATATGTAGATGTACAAAAAAAACTTTGTATTCGTATTATATAAAATTTAAATTTTATAACTTATGGTGGTATTTCGATTTTTCACTATTTACAAATTTTTTTCATTTTTTACAACTATTAATTTTATTTAGAATCGAATAAAACATTTTATATTTTTTAAACGTAGAAATTATAATAAAATATTGAATTTTATGTATGTATGATAGAAACTTTATAATTCGAGACTAGGACTTCGATCAAGTTCACATTGAACATAAATCATTTTAATTTTGTTATTTAAGCGTGTATACTATACGTGTTTGTTCCTTCTCCTCATGTGCGCAGAATTATAGTTTAATTATATTCATAAATACAGTTATCGAGTCAAAAATCGATATGTATTTAGACTTTAATATTTAGAATTATTTAAACGCGAAATTAAAAAATAAAAAAAGTATTGTTTTCATGTTCCATTCATAATATGACCGATCGTTTTCTATATATAAAATTCTTTTAAAAAAAATATCTAGATTTTTTAGTTTATTTTTAATTATTTCGTATTTAATATTAATTTTATAAGTAATGTATTTATACATTTTTTTATAATTAAACATTGAATGAAAGAGATGAAATCAAACAAACGAAAAAAATTTGATATATTGATATACAAAAATTAGTGGAAAATTAATGTCATATTTAAATAGCAAACATAAAAATTATTATCTTAATTTTAATATTTTAATATAAAAACATTTTTCGACTAAATAAAGATTTTTGAAAAATTGTTGAACAGGGTAAATGTTTATAGTATTTACTTATTACATTTATAGAAATATGATGTTTTGAAAGATTAAAAGTATATTATATATAATATTTAATACGATTCTTCATTGTAATTATTATGAAAACATTCCTAAATATATATTTATAAAATATTTTAATCTACCGACGAAATAAATTATCTCTAGATACTTTTATTATGATTTTCAGTATATGTATAATATTATCATATATTCAGCAAGAAAAATACTAAGAAAAATAAAAATTTAAAATGTTATAAAATTTTTGAAATTTCAATATCTTTCAAAGCATTGTTATATATTTGCTATATAATAATATTAAATCGATAGAAAAAAATGAAATTGTTTGTTTATTTATTGTGGGCGATCAATTGTTGTTTACTACTTCAGTGTTCAACAAAATATATCAGAAAAAATTTATGATCTTCGTGAGTTACAAATATAAATCATTTATAAATTTTTCATATCGTATTTAGATATAATTCGCGTTTAGATAGATCAGTGTACATACTATGTAAAACAATTCGGAATAGAGAAATATAACACATATGTTCTGAATTGTATTCAAATTGGGCAGGGTAATATTGTACTGAATGAAAATATGTAAATTTTACGGTATAATGTTATATCGAATTTGTAAGTAGTGTAGAAATAGAATATTTTGCACGTAACGAAATATACAAATGACAATACACAAATTAAATTATTTGTTAGGTCCATGAGCATAGTACAAAAGTGTTTTAGCTTTATGTACTGGTACTTACAAGAAATGTATTTAGTATGTACCTAGTTAAGGAAAAAATAAATTATTCTGAACAGATAATGGAAATTTAGATTCAGTAAAGCATTTAATTTATAAAAAATCATATAATTTATAAAAAACGAATGTTCAGAAATATAAGTATTTTGTTTAAAAAAAAAAGCAAATAAAGTCAATAATAATAAAATAAAATTTTTTAAAAAGTATTTTTGTTTAAAAGATATTTAACTTATTAAATAAATAATCTTTTTGAAATTTTTAAATAAATAAAATTTTCAATATATAATTATATTTTAATATTATAATATAAAATAAAAAAATATTTATGTATTTGAATTTATTACTGAAATAATTTATTACTGAAATAATTTTTAAAAAGTTTATGTTAAAAATATATCTTATTTACAATATTAACAATTTAAAATATAAATAATTAGACAGAAAAATTACAACATGTTTTATAATTGATAATATATTTTAATATATATGTCAAAAAATATATAATCTATAAATATATAATTTAAATATATTATATATTTAATTTTTGATTTTAACTTTTAAATGATAAAAAAAAATATATTTCTTTCATAATTATATAAGCTTTTTACAGTAACAATATACAAATATGGAAATTATAACTTTACATAAATCTTATTGTTCTCTATAAAAATTGTCATTTCTGCTACAACATATGTCTTAGTTTCGCATTTAAAAATGAACTTTTTTATTTATATATTTCAATCCTAAATTTTTTGTCATTATAATAAGAATTATTATACAAATTTTTTAAACTATAACAAATCTTAGTTATGCTCTTGCATCATTAATTGTTGTTGGAACTTTTACCTCAATTCCATCAAGTTCTTTAGTCATTACTATTTGACAGCCTAGTCGTGAGCTGAAATAATAAAGAAAAATTTTGAAAAAAAGAGGTAAAATTACCAAAAAATTTGAAATGTTATTTTAATATTTATTTATGCTCAAGGATTTATAAATAAAAGATTATGAAAATTTATTCACATAATTTTGGTTTCATAGAATTCAGAGCTAGAAAATTGAAATTCTACTTAAAGATACAGTGATCTATTGTATGATTATTTATTCTAAAATAAGTTTTATAATTATATTTAATATATTTTATATAATATTTAATTTTGAAAATAATATTGCAATATTTGGTTTTATATTAAAATATAAATTATATATTTACAAATATTTTTTAAAATAGATTAATAAAACAATTATTTAAATAATTAAAATATTTAATATATATATATCATTTTAATATATATTATAATATGCATGTGAAAGTGATTAAACATGTAAGTATATATCTCTGAATTTTCTTAATAATAATGAATCGAATCAAATTCCATTATATTTCAATTAATTACAAAATTATTTTTAATTTTATTACTTTTATTTTATATTAAATTATTAAATTATTATTGACTTACGTGTCTGTTAATTCATATGCTAGATCTAACATATCTAATTCTTCATCTGTTGGTTTGTCAGGAAGTATATCATAAACTTCTTTTGGAAATATCAAATGACATGTACTACAAGTTAATGTTCCCTCACAAGCACCTACATAAATAACAATATATCTTAAAAATTATTTATTTAAAAATTATAATTCACTTATATGGTAGTGAAAAAAATATGAAATATTATTTTTTTTTCTTACAATTATTCTAAAGTAAATTATATTTATTATTTATATATATTTTATTATATTATTTTAAAGCAAATTATGTTTTTTTAGAACATACCATATCCATCTAAATCAATTTCATTGTTTACTACTATATCTAAAATAGTATCTCCAATTTTTCCTTTTGCTTTGATTCTCTCTCCACTTGCCTTAACAAATGTTATATGAACTCTAGAAATAATTAGATTTAAAATAAGATTATTCAAAAATACATATACATAAATATATATATTCATAAAATTCATATCATATCATATATTATACATAAAATTTTATTTAATTTTTTTTATTTAGATAAGATTTTCAAATTAATTTTAATGATATGTTTTATAATATATTATAGTATATGCTTGTATATAAATATACATGTATGTATATGTAACGCGTCATGTTTTTTTTCGAATATATATTATATACGTATATGTAGTAATAAAATTAAATTACATTATACTATTATTATTTATGATTTATAATAATAAAAATAAAATATAATTGTTATAATGCATAAGATTTACATAATTATTTTATTAACATTATTATATTTTTATGTTCATAATATTGTTTTTATTAATACTACTCTATTAATACTATTTGTTTCAAAAAAAATTGCGTCACTTACTCTTGTTTTTCTGAAAGTGGTTGTGTCGTTGATGTTCCTCTTGTTGTCTGTAAAAAAGGCAACATTGTGTTGCTTGTGAATTTTGAATAATTCGAAGCAATGCAGAGAATTGATCTCGAAAACTTTTGAAATTGATTTACTAACGCCATTCTACTAGTATAAGTATGGGACACTACGTCGAATACCACAAAAGTATTACGATAAATACCAATTATAGTTTAATTGTACTTTGTACAGGAACTTTCACGACATTCTTTCGATCAAATACTACTGTGTTCTTTTGTGACGACAGGTTATAAAATAGTATTAACTGACATGTACCGAGCACGTGTTTCAAACCATGCGTTATAACATGAGAATTGCCACTACAAATAATTGATTTATTAAAAAATAATTTTTTAAAAAATTATTTGATATTATATAAATATAATTTATAAAATATATATTGTTTATAAATATATATTTTATATATATTATCTCATTTAGTAATAAAGTATACAATTTACTATTAAAAATCTAAATATAATTTGTCTTTTATATTTTATATTTTTATTTTTTTATTGTTCTTTCTAATCTGTTGTTCTTTCTAATAAATATGGCAAATTAATTGCGAACTTATATGGAATATATAATTATTGTAATTTAAAATGACAATAAATATCATATAGTAATATAATTATATGTGTAATTTTCAATTTTAGAAATGAATTTTTTAATAAATATAAAATTAATATTTATATTTCTAAGTAAAAAGAACAATTTTAGTTTATTACATAAATAAACTATCATACTTTGATATCTTAAATCTTATTTTATTATTATTATTAAATCTTTAAAAATATTTTAAAAATATTAATATAATCATATTATAAATAAAATAAAATACAATTAGTGATAAATAAATAAGAATATTTAATTAATTGGTATTAATCATTCTTAAAAAAAAATAATTTCTTGAATAAATAGATATCTATTGTTACTGATCATAGAAAAGTTTTCATATTATGGTTGGCATTAGTGATAGTATTATCATTGTTTACAATTTGTTGCGTTTAAAGAAATGTAACAAATTAATTTTTCGGAAAGAAATTTAATATTTCAATGAAATTATTTTCATAAAATGGCAGATGATAATGTTCTTTTCATACGGGGAAATGGAAATGTATGTGTATATTTTTAATATCAAATTTAGGTTATAATTATTAATAAGTTAAATATAAGTACTCGTATAAAATACATAACTTGTTGTTTTTAAAAGAGCACAGAGCATAGTGAAGATGTGTGGGATGATAGTGCATTAATAAAAGCATATGATAAAGCAATAAACTTAGCAAAAGAAGAAGTAGGCAAGCGTATGGGAATAGGCATTAAAAATTCTGAATGCAAACAAAAGTTACAAAAGCAATCTAAGCTTACAAGCAAACCATACAAGGTCATGATTTTATTATAATTTTATAAATTTAATTAATTTTAATTGAATTCTATAAAGTGGAAGAAAAATTAAAAAATCATTCAGTATATTAGGAAAAAATATTTATTTTATTTTATTTACTTATGATATTAATATATATATTTAAATTTTTTATGAATAGAAATGGATTGTAGGGGCACCTTGTCGTGCAGTATACTCAGAAGATGGTGAAATTTATGAAGCAATAATAACAAAAATTTATGAAAATAATGGAACTTGTATTGTAAAATTTGTAGGTAATATTTTTAATCTGATTGTAATATCACTTAAAAAATATATTAAAATCACATATATATATATTTTATAAATTTTGTAACTTGTCAAATGACAAGATTTTTTTTTTAATATGTTTAGGTTATGGCAATACGGAGAAAGTAGAATTGAATTCTCTTTTGGAATCAGAAGGTTTACAAAGTCAGATAGCTCAACAAAAAAATGCTATGGAACATAAATTTGATGAAGAAAATGAAGAGATTAGTGAATCAAATTTTTCTACAAATATGAATTCAAGAAAATATAGTGGAGAAAAAATGGATTGTGAATCTGAAGAAACAAAAACTTACAAACATCAATTTATGCCTGGAACATCTTTTAATTTAATGGCAGATACAATGCCACCTGCACCTCCTTTACCTCCACAATTAATGGCTAAGTAAATAAAAGTTTTATGCAATGTTTTATCCAAGTATTTTATATTTATCCATGTAATTATAATATTTATTTAAAAAAAATTAAATTTAAATAAAATTTGTTAGATTACCAGATAATGATGCAGAAGCACTTTCGAGTATGTTAATGTCATGGTATATTAGTGGTTTTCACACAGGTAAATTATTTATAAACTTATTTTATATGAAACTTAATGGACTATAATGGACTATAATATTTGTTTTACAGGTTATTATCATGGTTTAAAACAAGCAGAGAAGAATCAAATAAAAAGAAAAAATTGTTGATTATACATCCTTTTAACATGAAATACAATTTTTATATAATAAGAATAATAATATTGATATAAAAAATCACTATTTCATTTTTTCATTTTATATGGTTTATTGAAATCTTATTACTAGTTGTAGAAAAATATAATATATATTAATTATTATTTAAAATAGAAATATAAATTTTATTTTATTAGATTTCATTAGATTTTGTTTTTCTAAAAATAATTTAAAGATTATAAAATACAAGGATATATGTTATTATATAGTATATATAGGATATATCCCAAAAATATTGATACATATATAAACTGGAGATTTCTAAGGTAATTTCAAGTAACATTTGTAAAAATTTTCGTTATGATTTTATTAACTAGTTATTAACAAAAAAACACTGACCAATCACGAAGCGCGTAGTTTAGTAATGCAATAATAGTAGCATTAGCTATGTGCGGCAGCTTATTAATAAAACTGTAATGAAAATTTTTGCAAAGGAAAATGTTGTTTGAATATGTTACTTTTTATTTCAAAAATCTCCAGTTTAGGAATATTCCAATATTTTTGGGACATCTTATTTATATATATTATTGCATATATATTATGTTATTATATAATAGATCAATGACATTTAATATATTTTTTTAATATAACTTTTAATATAAAATTAAAAAAAATTTAAGTATAATAATATTTTAATTAGTTGGTTTTTATTGGATTTAATTATTTATTATTTGTTATTTGTATCCCAGTTATCATATATATCCATATTGGTTACTGTAGGTACTGTTTCTTTAAGTAATTCTTTTAATATTTCAATATTCCTTAATTCATATTTCAAATCTGTAATAAATATTTCTTTTTTTTCAAGATTTTTCCACATTGGAGTTACTTCTAACATCCATGCTTGTTTACAAAGCAATTTTATGTCTGCACCAGAATACTGTTTAGTATAACTCATTAAAAAGTCTACAATATTTTTATTCTTTAATAAATTATCACTGAGATATAATTTAAATATACCAAGTCGAGTAGCTTCATTGGGTAATGACACGTATATTCGTTTCTCAAGACGTCTAAGTAAAGCTGAATCAATATTCCTATCAAATAAAATCATTATTATAAAAAAATTCTAGATAAAAGAATAAAAAATTTAAATATTTTAAATATAAAAGATTTTTTACATTTTTTTAATAAAAATTCTATATAAAATATTATATAATAATGTAATATATAATATAAGAATCTTTTTCTTAAGATTTTTTATATATTTTTCACATTTTTTTTATTAATATTATTACTCTTACGTATTTTTATTGATTGCATATCATTACCACGGACAATTAGTTGCAGCTAGAAGTAGTACATTTGAATTATCAGTAGATACTAATCCATCCAACTTAGTAAGAAGTTCTGATCTAAATCTTTTTGCAGGTTCAGATAACGAATTATTTTGTACATTTGTAGCTATCCAATCGATTTCATCTATGAAAATAATTGTGGGCGAATGGCTATAAGCAAGGTCGAATAAAACCTATTTAAAATAAATTTATTTCATATATAATAAATAATATAAATTGTTAAATATATAATTGTTTTTTAAACTAGTTTTTTACTGTTTTATAGTAGTATTCTATTAAAATATATATATTATATTGGATATAACTTTAATTATATTATAATGCTTCTTTGGAGCATAATTTTTATCTAAAATATTTTTTCCAAAAATAAGTGAGATATTTCAGATAATAAAGTTGCACAATTACTTTACGTATATAAGATCTTTCTTTTATACAGGATAACTTACACGTATGTATTTTTCGGAATCACCTCTCCATTTGCTAACTAAGGAGCTAGCTGTTATATTAAAAAAAGTGCATTTGCACTCTGTTGCTACAGCTTTCACTAACATTGTCTTGCCTATTTCGTCAATTTTTTATGAATATTTTTATTTATTTGTATATAAAAGAAATAATGATATATGTCTTACCTGTGCCAGGTGGTCCATATAATAGAATACCTTTCCAAGGAGAAAATGGACCGGCAAAGAAGACAGGATATTTAAGAGGATATACAATAGCTTCTTTAATAGCTGTTTTACAGTCATCTAAACCTACTACATCATCCCAATGTACATTTAAATTCTCCAATACAATCTCCTATATTACAAAAGATACATTAAAATACATGCGATGAAATTATAATATTCGAATTTTGTTTTTGTTTCCTGTACAAAATATATATATATACATTGTTATAGAATTATTATCAATTAAATTGATGTTTTATTACATGTGATATATCGACAGCAATTTTTCGCAATTCTGAATTTGCTGAATATAGTTTTTCGATACATTTCCATATTTTCGATTGCATAAATTTTTCTTTTGGAATGTCAAATTCTTCTGATGAACTATGTTCTACTTTAATTATGTTCTGATTGGAGAAAATCGGTTTTACTGTCATTGCAAGATTAATATTATTTATTTCATTATTTATTTCTTGTATATTATTTTCTTTCACTAGTTCACTTTGCGATTGTTTGGCAAGCATTGTGACTTTTGTCTTACTTTTTCTGCAAAAATCATTTATCAAAATTGAAATCTGTATTAGTTTTATTATGGAACAATTCGATTATTCATAATTATATTTAACAAATAATAAATAATTTTGAGTTTTTAAAAATAAGCGCATAAAATAATAAAATATTACGAAAGAAAAAATTTTAAATTTTTTAACTGAATAATTTAAATAAACAAATAAAACTTACTTTTTATCTATATTTGTTGCATTTTTTTTACAAAACATGGGATATTTATTGAATTTCATATGATAATAACTTTCAAATTCCATTATAATCCTTTCTAAATCGATATTATCGCAAACTTGAATATCGGAAACAAGTTCAGCTTCGGAAATTAGTGTTTCGCAAGTTTCTGTATAACTATAAAAAAAATTTTTTAAATATTGTTTAAAATAATATTGATTATTGTATCTAATAATATTACAATATACAAATAAATTTAAATATTATTAAATTATATATATTTATTTATAATTAGTATACAATTATAAATATTGATATTAATAAAATTAATAAAATTAAAATTAATAAAATTAATAAAATTATAATAAAATATTAATATTAATAAAATTATGTTAATATTAATATAACGATAATGATTTCATTGAAAATTTAATAAAAAGATTTATTATTAATTTATTATTAAAATCATAAGATTTAAATATTTTTTATTTTTAATTAAATATCACAGCCGTTTTTTAAGAATATAAATTTTACAGAATATATATAGACAAAAAGAATAAATAGTGAGAAAAGAATAGATATAGGATAAAAATTGTAGAATCAGTTTCATCTCTAGAATTCACATGAAATATAATTTAAAAGAAAAGATAGTAGAAAAATAGAGATAAGAATTGATCCTCAGCATTATTTTTTGAATGTCAAAAAAATCTCTAGACCTTGAATAAGATAAAATAATTGAGGATTACCATCATTTTTTTAAATTTTAAAGATCTCTTTTAAATACTCAAAAGATGACATTAATCTTCAATTCTTGTTTCTAAATGTATTTCATTTGCGATATCTGAAGATGGCGTTGATTTTCAAATTTGTATACTATCTCTGTTCTCCTACTATTTCTTCTCCATTCTTATTTTTGGTATTATACTATTATGTTATTATAAACGAAAAAATGAAATTCAAAATTCATAATTTTTCCTTCAAAATTAAAATATCTTGATTTTTAATTTAAAAATATAAATATTAGATTTTGCTAGAATCTATAGTCTTTTGAAATAAATATTTTATCTGGTCTAGAATTTGATATTTATAAATTATTATAAATATCAGATACATTATCTTATAATATAAATATAAGATACATTCATTTAAAAAAATAGTATATATTATATATTCGTTAAATGTTTATAAAAATATTAATTATTGAATATAAAAAAGGATGTAATTAAATTATTTTAAATTTATAAATATTTTTATTTTATAATTATTAATAAATTAAAATTAAATGATTTAATATATCGAAACATACGTATATATATTCAAGAAAAAATTTTAAATGAATAAATTTAAAATAAGAAAAAATTTATATTTATAATACTTACTTATTTTCGTTCAGATAATCATATATAAGATATAATATATTTTGACGACGTTGTGAAATACGATTCTCCTCCTAATTAAAAATTAATTAATTAATAATTTTTATAAAAAATTTTATAAATATCTTCTCTCACTTTTTCAAAATAATGGAAGAACGAAATACTATTTTTTAATAATTTTTTGTTTGTTTATTTCAATTGTTATTATTAATATGTATTTTTCAATTATAATTGCAATAATAACTACGAAAAAAACAAGTCGTAACAAACAAATCAAATTAAAAAAAACTTTATTTTTTTATGAAAAAGTTTTGTACAATTTTGGGGCTGTAACATTTCCTTACCTCTTTTCGCAAACCGTGACGCATCTTATTCATGCTTCCTTCCATAGACAAAACACTCATGATGATTATGATGAATATAATATTTTTTGATAAGCAGAAAAAATCCTGTTAACTCTTTTTTACGAAAAATAAACATAAATCTAAATATCTTATCTAATCTGTCTGATAGACAATAGAGTAAATGACAATAACTACAGATCCGTATCAATATCCGTAAAAACAACCCGGAAAAATATTATTTCAGCTTTAAAAATAATCTCGAAATGATAATTATTAGGACAATTCATTCATAAAGAATCGAAGACTTGTTTCAAAACACAGATTCGTTGCTATGGTAATGTTAATTCTGTATTAGTTCACATATATATTCTATACATTCTATACATAGTAAAGCTTACATGATAACTTTACATATATATATATATATATATATACTAATGTAGAATAGATGTAAATATAATGTCATCGTAGAAATTTTAAGTCGAAATCGCACGTCAAAAAACGTCAAAAACGGATGTTAAATCTCTCTTTTTAACAACCGTCATAGCATTATATTATAAAATATAGATGTCCTGTAATTATTTCTATGCTTAGAATATAATATGATAAATGTTAAAAAAACGTAACATTTGTTTTTTTGACACTCATTTGATCCCTGCTTTAATGGATAAAAATCCTATACTCCAAATTTCTTTTTCAAGAGTTTTAGATATCTTTGAAATAATAATGAGTATTTAATTAAAGTAATGAAGATAAATTATGATTCTGAGACTGCATGTGGATTCTCAGATGTGGTGTTTAAAGATTTTATGTGGCAAAAATATTTAATTGCTAGAAAATAAATTGAAGAAATAAAAGAAAAAAAATTGAAATTTTAATTTATTTTAGTACTTATTTTAATAAAAATAAGTATATATAATAACTTTAATAAAAAATTGTACTTAGATTAAAAATTGATAATTTCTTTTGCTTTTATTAGTATTTTATTATTAGTATTCTTTCTTTTCAAATTGTGTCAATATTAACGCATTCTTTTTTTCTCGTTCTTCGAAAATTTTTTCCTTTCTTTGTTGTTTGAATCTTTGAGACTCTTTGTTTAAGTAACTAGCTTCCGGATATTCTTTATCGTTCAACCTTATAAATCTTTTAGATTTCCTTAGGCTAGTTGTTATTATCAGATTGCAGGAAGCTTATAATGATTTTCTTAAACATTTGAAAATAGTATTTTTAAGAGAAAAAATATCTTACCTTTTCATAAATATAGAAATATTTGATTAATATATATATATATATATATATATATGATGAAAAGATAAATTATAGATATCAAATCATTATACGATTCGGAAATTCTTCTATTATTTTTTTCAAAAATAAATAATTAATAAGAATATTAAAATGGCATTTTGCAAAATATTTAAATTTTAAGATAAAATTTTTTATTTCAATTTTCGCTATAATTTTTTAAATTCCCCAGATAACATGATAAGATTCCAAACTATTGCGAACGCTGTACACGACATTTTTATTCACACTTTCGAACAATTAATTGTTAGAATAGTACCTTAGAATAGTATTCGCAAGAAAAATTGTTGACTGCAATCACTGCATATCATGGACGAGTCAAAAACGATAACTGATGCTGCAGGTGCATCAATGCGTTGCGGCCGTCGAAGTTGGCTTTGACGCCGCTGCCGAGGAGAGGCGCAGAAAGGTATTCGATCGACCCGCGAACGCAACCTGTGCTCACACTGCGACAGAGTTCACTTCGGTTAGTCGCTGTTTGCCCGTCAACGGCATACGGTCGCGTCGATCTATGATTTTTTGCTTCTTATTCGTGCATCTCCTTCCGACAACCGGCCTATACATCGCCACTTTATTGTACGATTATTATTCTTCTTATCATTCTTCTCATATCCGATTTCGTCGTAAAAGAAGAGAATTGTTTGCTCCGATCTTTGTTATTTGAAGGGAATATACATTGTTTGGACACATGGACTGCGATACACGAGGAATGATCGAGACATCGACGTGATGCACTTTCGAGGTAAATTAAAATTGTTTTTTTAATGAAATTAATTTTCTTATTTTCATTGTTTACTATTTTTTCTTTTTTCTTTTTTTTTTTAGATGGATTAAAAATTTTGTAACATTCAAAATATTTTTTCAAGGAAAATTAAAAAATTTTAATAAGTAATTTAAAGTAGTTTAAAAAATCTGAATAAAATGTTTTAATATAATTAAATTTCGTAAAATGATGTAATTATAAATATGAAGAAGATGATTTGATTTTATAAACCATTTTATAAGTATCCAAATATCTTTTAAAATATCTTTTAAAGAAATTTAGAATTTTGGAAAACTTGAATAAACTTTTTTTGATATAATATTATAATAATAAATATATATGTAATATAATAAATATAAAAATAATGATTTGGAGGATATATGTTTTCTTTACAAATTCAATTATTTGTATTTACAATAATTAAGATTTTCTTGTTTATCTTACTGTTGCACAAAATTAATATAAATTTTCTATATAATAATAATTTAATAAATTCAATGGCTAAAATGATGCTTTTATTATTTCTTTTTTTTCCATCTTACTTATATAATGATTATTTAAATTCGTCTGTTAACGCGCTCGCATGTGTTACATCGCACTATTATGTATTACATATATATATAAACTAAATAAATTTAAATTAATTTGATTCGTTTATCAAAGTTAAATCGATGTACAAACTATAAACTGAAACGCGTAAATTGAAAATCTTTAAAAAATTTTTTTCAAAATTATTTTTTAAAATTATTTTCATTCTTAAAGATTAAAATTTTTTATTTTATATTTTACATTCTTTTTTTTTTATTTTATATTCGAATTAATATAATGATATAATTAAATTAATAATGAAATTAAGATTATTATGATGTTTCGAAAAGATTGTTATATATAAAAATGAATATTTCTATTATAACAATGATAATTTCACTTTTTTATCATTGAGATTTAATTATCACATTAATTTTAAAAATGATGACAAAATTAAAATTAAAGTATTCAATTATTTTAATTATCGCATTTTATAATACATTATAAAAAATATTATATATATTTATTTATGAATAAGATCAATTAAATTAACACGAAATTATGATTCTAATGACATTTTCAATCCATCATTTATCCATCACTTCAGATTAGTACCTCTAAATGACCAGTTTTAATCACTAGATGGCAGAGTCGTGATTCAGTGATAGAGCTTTAATATAGAGTAGACATTCTAATATACATAAGATTTGCTTATAAGATTTCATTGTAAGCATTACTGATAGCAATTTATAATGAGATAAAATATAAATTAAAATTTGAACTGAAATATATATTTAATTTCTAATATGAGTGCAATTAAATAAAGTCACAATTTACAATATATAATATTAATATATAATATTAATATAATTATGTGCAAGATTAATTAATGTGCAAAATGATTTATATATTTTATATATTCAATGTTCAATAAAAGAAGATTTTGATACCTGAAAAGTCGAGAAATAATTAAATTCAACCACTTCGTTATATATGCAACTACATATTCGTATTTGTACGTTATATTATATTATATTTAAGAGTACGTATTTACATACTTAGTATATCTTTAAATATGTATGTGATGAAATAACTCTTTTTTTCGCTTATTTTATGTAGTGTAGTATTTTCATATAATGTAAATTAATTTCGTTAAATAAAATTAACGTAGCTTAGTACAAAATGATAACTACAACGATAGTATTGGTATTGACGTCAGCTTCTCAAAATTTCTCAAGTATCGAGGTCGACTATTTGGGTTAAGAATTTATTTTCAAGGTTCTGTAAGTACAAATGCTGTATGGATATGAAATTTCCAATATATTTTTTAATAATAATCATATTGAATAAAATGTTTTTTTCTATCTTCATTGCTTCATTGCTATTTATCTTTTATTTTCATTATTTTTAACATATACATGTATGTACAATTGTATTATAAATTAAGAAAAATTGTGTATACTTTGTTTATCTCGTTATTTTTGACAGTCGAGAAATGGATGGTTTGGAACTGGATTATTTTTGATCTATAAAAAATTCTTGAATGAAATATCTTATGAAATAAAATATAGAAAAATCATATCATTAAAAAGTTAAATTTTAAAAAGATTTCTATAACAATCAAATAAGTGAACAAAGTGTTGCATTATTTCTTGATAATTTGTATTCAATTGATTAAAAAATATTATTATTTTCAAAATAATCTTCAGATTGATCATACTATGTTAAATTGTAAGCAATATTATGTTGGAAGTCGGAAAACATCGTCTATATCGGTAAACGTTTGCCTTGTGAACGTGTAATATATAAATAATAGATTAGATGATAGCAATCGCGTATATAACTGGTTTGTCTTACATACCCATTGTACTATTCAACAGTAGAGTATATACTATATAAATCGCGATCATCGTTGTAAATTCAAAGTTGGTGAAGTTTATTTCGTTCCATTTTTTAATTCAAACTATGGATCGACGATTTGTATCAATTTCGAGCATTGTTACATTTTGGACAATTTTAAAGCATGTTTCGTCGATTCATTCGTTTTGTAACAAGATCCTGTGACAATAAATTGAAACATGAGTTAATTTCCAATCAATTTTTCCTTTTCCTTCTTTTCTCTTCTTTTTTTTTTACATTGATGCAAAATTAATAAATAATAAATTATATGGATATTGATTATCACAGCTAGATATTTGTAGATTTTAAAAATTCTATCTGAGCCTTACAAATTTTATTTAATTTGTATTTTAAAGTAATTTTGAAGTTTGAAGATTAGACATATTTGAAGATTTGAAGTTTAATTTTCCAAAGTGCAAATGTGTATCCTGTGTATTTAAAAAAGGGTAGTTTTAATAAGTTTTATTAATATTAATAAAAAGAATAGGGCAATTTGTCATTTACCTGAGTTAGTGTTATCCAATTTAAATTCTTAAGTCTTAAAAGCTTTCTTAAGAATGTTGACTGATAATTTGCTACATTTAAGAGTCATCGTATGTACTTACTTAAATACTTATAGAGCTTCTTCAATATCAATTGATTCCACAAAATTAAAATCCCAATTATTTGTTGTACAAAGTGGATCTTAAAAATTAATGAAGAAATTAATTTTTTTGCTGTAATAATTAATATAATTAATGATTATTTTTATCTGAACTTTTAATATAATTTTATATAATTATTTTGTATAAATCTATTATAAATCTACATTAATGTAAATATAAATTCATAAAAATTGAAAAGACAGTTTACAGAATATTCCTTTTTTATTACTTATTGTATTTTTATTTGTTCGAATCATGAATATACATAGTAATGAACCCGTTTATAGCAATCCCATTTGTCATCCTACGCATTCCAGAAACTCGATAATTCACCAGGTGATACGCTTTAACCGTATAGAAAACCTATCTATAAATAATTGATCTCTATTAATATCGCATCGACTTTTGAAAGTTCTTGATACAATCTATTTTACACCATATTGAAATAAATCGAGATTGCTGATCGACCTTTATCAGATTGGATAAATCGAGAGATTTTAATACATAATAGTTCCAAAAAAAATTTGGAAATTAAATACCTATCGCAAAAAAAGAAATACAAAAATTAAACAAGGCTTTAGACGTTAATTAATTAACATAATGAAGTTTATAGTTATGTTATATAGATATAATTATAAAAAATTAGTGATTTTATCTTTGATTTTATCTATTATTTACAAAAATGCAATAATAAAAGTGTTCTCTATTTTTTAGTCTTCTTTTCTACGATAAATATTTTGCTTCGTTGACGTAATGACAATGTACATAGATGTCATCTAATCGATAACAAAAGTACATGACATCAAAAAAAAAAAAAAAAAACTATGAAAGCGTTTAAACAATATGATTCTGGTTAAAGGCATGAATTTAATTAAGAAAGAATCAAAATTTATCGTTGAAAATATTTGTCTACATTTAATTTCAATATATTACTACTTTTCAATCACAAATTAGTCTAATTATAGCTAAATTATTATATTAATATTCAAAAGTTACTTGTTTATAAATTAGAATATTGCAAAATATTTCTCATAAAATAAAAAAAAAATTATTAAGATAAATTTTATATTAAATCTTTTTTTTTTTAAATTTCCATTAATATATAAGTATATGAATGTTTAAATTGTTCATGAAAATATGTATATAAGTATTTTATCTTTAATCTAATTTATAATTTAATCTCTTTTTTTATGACAGATTGGTCAGAATGCTATTGTTGCATAAAACAACATTTTACTATATAATAGCAAGCATATAATTTCATATTTTTCAATTTTTTAAATAATATAATTTCGTATCGTAGTAAATGAAAAAATTGTTATAAATAAATATTACGAATTTTTAATGAGAAGTTTATAAAGTACAAAAAAAAATATAAAACATGAATATTAATTTTATCTTATTTTTACTTTATTTTTATATATTTTTTAAACAAATTTTCAAGAAACTATTCGAAAATTTTTGATAAAAATATTTTTTGGTAAAACATGGATGAAATCAGTTAAATCGAATGAAAATTCACTGACCTGTATTGAAAAAAATTCTCTCGAGAAATGAAAAACGAGTTTGAAAAGAGGTTAATTTCACCATTATCGATTGTAAAATACTTTTTTACAATTTTTGTTTGCTCTTAACAGAATACATGAATAAATAAACAAATATATACATAAAAAAAAATGAAGATAAAAATGAAAGTTTAATTTTCTGAAACGGGCCATTAATGTTAATGCGATACAGAACTGTCAGCGTGCAATGTTTTCCATGCTTTTGCTCTCGCGGAAACGGTTCTACTCGTTAAGAAAAAAATAAGAGGAGAAAAAAGCTTTTAAAATGCTGGAAAAGCGTGCGTTGTCACACATAGCGTTTGTTATCGCGTGAAACTACGACGCAACTACTTATTACTCGGTTTTCAAGATTTTTAGACACGTGTTGAAAGTGTTCGTAAATTTCATAAATCAAAGGAATAAAGAAACGCAAAAGTATTGTGATTGTCAAGGACTATTTCTCCTAGAAAGAAATTTTAACCATATTGCTATAATAGTTACTTTTTATTTTTTAAAATTTTAAAATTGATTCTTAGAGTAGTGGATACATATGAGAGTAAAATTCTCGAAAATTGCTTGTGGAATTGTTTTTTTCAGTGGAAATAATATTGAAAATGATGTCCGAGCCTACGAAAAAATTATTTCGAAAACAACTTGTAAAAAATTTATTCTTAAGTTTATCCTTACATTTATGTATTGTTTTTTATAAATAGTATGATAAATTATTAATTGTTAAAATTAAAATAATTATATGTTAAATTATATAAGAAAAGTGAAAATTAAAAAAACATATTCAATATATAGACATAATAGTTGGCTAGTTAAATTACTAGTGAATAATTGAATAGTGAACTGAATAATTGGTTTCGATGAATAATAATCAGTGTTTCATGTGCCAATCATGAATATTTAAACCCGAGTTCAAATGTTTGATATTCCGCTATTTGCATTATTTTTAGAAAGATCGTCTCGTTAACGATAAAGGTTAAACAAGTGATGTTAGTCTTTTCTTGTTGCATTCTTACTTATTGTTAGGTTAATCGATCGCGATTACGATCCTGAGGTCAAAATTTGAGAAGAAAGAACGAAACATTGGATCCATTCAATTTTTGAAGTACCATATTTCATCTGAACTTTCTACATATTGTCAAAATTCGTATTTTTGTAGATTAATAATTCACTAGATTAATAATTAATAACATAAAATAGATATTATTTGAACACTTTTCAGGTATTTAAAATAAAAATTGATAAAAAAAATAAACAATAAAATAATTTAGAATTTAAAAATTAAAAAAGAGAAGCATTATGATATATTCTAATTCTGAGAAAATAAAAAAAAGCTTAGTTGTTAATCTGGAAAGAGTCCAAGTGACAATTTCAGACATTTACAGGCAATCAAGCAGCCGGTTAAGGTCGCGAACAAAGCAATTATCCCGCGTTAGTATCAATCAGAATAGTCCCACGCGAAATTGATCCAACTACTTGAAACGAATGTGTTCTGATTTCTATCGCAGATAACATACTCCTGGCCGCTGCAGTGCATGCACAGTGGTTGTTGGAATAACTTTTCATCTATCTAGCCTCCCTGGTGGACATCATTCTTTGATCTTCTGTGGCTAACTCAATCGAGGACCATGAAGAGTAGTTCGAGCCTCTACTCGAAAATACTCGTGTGGGTATTCTATCTGTCCGCTATTCTTCTTCTTCTCCTTCCGTCGAGAACCGGTAAGTTGAAAGTTGAAGAGCTCTGTAATCGATATACAGGTAAAATCAATTTCGATATGTACATCACGAAAATTTCGAATTTCAATTAATTACATGTTCTATTTTCTGTATTTAATTATTATTCTGTATTGTTATACTTAAATTAATTTAAAGCTTCAGTATATACTCGCATAATGTAGTGAATTGAATATTATTAAATAATAAGTTTTACTTTATGTTATAGTTATTATATAATTATATAATTAATTATATAATTAATTATATAATTATATAATTAATTATATAATTATATAAAAAAAAATTCTAACAATTTCTTTGTTTTAAAATTTCCTGTTTTCTATATAAAGTTTCACACAATAATTATCAAATTTCTAATTTCGAATAAATGGAATCTTTTTCGGTTTAATACGTATAGAGATGTACATATTATTCGAATAAGTATTATATGATATATTAATTAATATAACTTCGACCGAATTTAATCAATTGACTTTGCGTTCATTTATCGAATATTATCGATATTGCATTGAAAACTATTCATTGTAATTAATTGTTAATCGCGCGCGAATCGAAACGATCCGATCTTGTTCCAATGTTAAATAGGATAGAGACAGAAATTAATAATTTTCGTCAATCAATTGTTCGATTGTGTTCATAAATTCAAACACGCTTGAATGACGGAAATCATTTATAATATCGTCACGTGGATCGTATATATATATCTCATGTTCAATTCTCCTTTTGAGATCCTGAATTTTTTTTTTCATTACAATTATTTTCTAATTAATTGTATACATTCTGTATTATATAAATGATATTATAGTGATAAATATTTATGAAGTGATCAATCGTTCTCCGCTCTTAATATTTTTTAATATATTATTAAGATTATTAAATTGATAGTTTTATTTGATGATTGTTATTTATTTATTTTTAATTATTTGTCGTTATTTATCAATTGTTTATTATAATAAATTTATTATAATAAATCAAAACTAATTTGACTTCACTAAACTATTTTGAAAAAACATTTTCGTTCATAATTTTTTAATGAACAATGATTGCCAATTTTCAGAACTCAAGGTGGTGATAATAATACTTAAAAAAAATCATCAAAATCAGAAACTATCTTTGTAAATAATTACCCGATATTATAATGTTAGATTATAAGATTGGATCGTAAAATCTTAAATAAAAAAATTTTTGATATAACAATATTATTATTTTATATATATATAAATGATTAAATATAATATTATTATATTTCAATAAAGGATCTAATGTTATTAAAATATTAAATAAAATCTATAATTCCATGAAAACTGCAATGCGGATCTATCGAACAAAAATTAGCGCGCACAATAATTTTGCTTTCCGTAATTAACAATACGTGCAATTGAGCATGCAACCAAGTATCGAAGACATTCAAATGAAAATTATTTTTAGCTGCCTTGGAGGAGAATTGTACGGATTTCCAAGGAGCGATCGTTCGACACGGTCTCCTTTATGTACCAGGACCTGCGGTTTGCAGTCTCTGCGTCTGTTATCATTCAGAACCAATGTGGTGTCAATCCATCTTCTGCACACCACCTTACGTGAGTACTTTCATTTAAGAACAAACTTCCTGCACTTCCTGCAAGTAGAAACAATTAAAGTGTAGTATTAATTATCAAACTTGTCAAATTAATTTTCATTATTTTTTTTTTTTACTTTTGTCATTATTATTAAAAACTTACAGGTGTTGGTCCATTTTAATTACTCTTCAGTTTTTATTATGACAGAAATATAATTTTATAGAATATTCTTCGTTTAATAATTCCAGTTTTGTTTTATCTATCGATAGATGCAAATTTATTCTTGCTTTCTCAACCATTTTGGAACCATTTACATTTGTGTAAAAAAAAATTACTCGAGAAATTGCTTTATAATAATTGGAGTGTCGAATTCGTTACAGGGATCAGTATATATGCACGTACTTTTTACTGAAACTAGGTTAACGATTCGTTATTCACACGTTGCCTTATATTCCAAACTTACAATATTTATACAAGAAATTTTATTCTAAAAAATTAATCAGATATTGAATTTAATAAAATTTGAAATAAAATATAAAAAAAAAAATAAGTTAATTGATTGAAAATTGAAAATTTAACGTGATGAGCCAAATTCTTGCAAAGTGATCTAAAAATATCGTGGAATTAACGGATCAATTAGAGATTGAAAAGTGAAAGAAGGAAAAAAGGGAAATCATACCTTTGAATGCACCACACTTGTAAAGTCCATGGTTCGTGAAATTGGCGAGTAATTCAATTAAATGAAATTAAAACGATGGTTTAAATCTGTTTTCAATGGCGAGCTCCAAACTTCTATCTTTTGGAATTTTTAATCAGCGAAGATTTTTTTACATAGCAACCATTTGTAGTCGATGAAGCAGATAAGGGCTGTAAAACTTTATTGTTAAGTTAATCTTTATTGTTAAGTTAATTCTGTTAAGTTATCATTCAAATTGAAAAAGAAATTGTACAATTGGATTTTTCCCATTTTTATTTTATGATGTAAGATTTTTATATACATATGTACATGTACATTTTTATAATCATATCGAAAACAACCAATCGATGTTCATTAACCACCTTTTCATCTTTGTACAGAAAATATTACGAGTTGATCTCAACAAAAACGATGTATCGGTAATTCTCTTTAACTTTCTTCTTTTTTCTTTTTCAATTTCTCCTCTGAACAGATAGGACATTTAAAAAAGTAGAAATTAGCGATGTGTGATTTCGGGCTAATGAATATTTTTCCATTGGGAGATGGCAGATTTATTCACTCGCTTCACCAGTTATCTCGACTTTTCTTGCGCGACATGGAACGAACAAACGAATAATAAATATTACGGATCACAACCATTGCTTTCGATCTAGGCCATCGTTTTCTTCCTCCTTTCCTTTTTTTCATTCTTTTTTTTATTAATCACAGGGAAGCAAAGTTCGTTCGTTCGAGAAATTACGGTTCGTGAGAAATTGTATTATATTATGGAACTTGGAACTTCATCGAATTACGTTACTCGATTATTCTCATCTGTTTCTTAATAAATCGATGATGTAATAAATAATAAATAAACTTTTAATACACTTTTAATATAATCTGTATAATTTTATTCATGCGAGCGCGATAAAAATAAGCCTTAAAGGACAAAGTCTTCGTTCGTGAAAAATATTCTCAGAAATCAATAGAAGATGCTGACGACATTCGTTAAGTTTCCATAAACAGAAGGCTAATTTATTTAAGAATTGTCTTAACACGATTGGTATCGGTAATATAGTTAATATTCACTTTATTGAATTTTCATTCAATGTGACATCTTCAAACTCCTAATGAGATTCTTGTTGTAAAATCGTGCTTCTATGACTGCCGTATTTTTTCTCAGGTTTTTTTCAATTGAATAAAAACAGATTATTTATTATTATAATATCTAATCGATTTTTAATAAGAGGAAATATTTCAATCAAAATAGAATAATTTTTATTTTTAAAAAAATTGAAATTACTTCACAATTAAATGCTACATTTTGAAATATAATATATTCATGGAAATACGTGATTTTTCAATCAAAATGAAGAATTTAGATGAATATAGATTATGATAATGCAATGAATGGATCGAGCGTACGATGCGAAAATAAATTGGATAATGATTATATTGAGGAATAATGATTTCGAAGTATCAATTTTTGAAGCATATGTGTGCTTATTTAATAATTAGTAATAATAATTTTTTTAAAAAGTAAAATAGATAATACAAAATTATTCGCGTAAAAATATTTATTTTTAGGCAAAAAGTCTCTTAACGAAGATTTTATTCTCAGACTTTATATTTTCAATCTACTCTGAAATATTTCTACTCTGAAAATCCTGTTAATAATAATTGCATCTTGTCACAACGTGTATTCTTTGGGAGAGATTACGTATCATGTAATTCGTAAGTGAAGAAGAATATCGAAGAAAATTCTCATAGGTTTCCTCTTGTTTAAGCTTGAATCAAGGAAATCCTATTTTCAATAGAAGGATTACCGGATTTACTTCTTTATATAGTCTGTGCGATGTTTGATACTTAACTTTTTTAATACATATACACATATATAATATAATTGCTGTCGTAACGTCAACGTTGCAGTGCAAATTCAAATTCCGCAATTTCCGCGTTGCGTGGCAAAAGCATAAAATCAATATCACATACAAACGTTTTCTTTGCATTAGCCTATTTCAAATATGTTACCTATTTCTTTGCTTCATGTTGCAAAAACGTTCATGTTATTTAGTCGTAAATAATTATCGTGGATATATTTAGAGAAAGTTTGAATAATCTCATTTTCAATCAATATACTTTTTTAATAATAAATTTTTCTTTTATGAATATCGATTCTATGCAAAAAATGAGTAAATAGCTAAGAGATAAAAAAAATCTGTTAAAATTGATGCCGGTTTCATCTTTTATTTATATTATTTGAATATGATTTTCAGTGATAAGTTTTTTTTTTTTATAAATATCTACTGTAAAAATAAAAAAATAACTATTGAGATAAAAAGAGACAAAAGAAATCTGTTCAGAAATAATTGTTGAAAAGACTTTGTATAAATATTGTTCCTTGTTATATCTCGATTTTTTCTTCATCTTGTATACATTGTTATTTGTTATGAAATATAATATTGCCATATATTTCGTCTTTGGTTACAATCATTACTTTTCAGTTAAACGCCTCGAATCACGTAGCTTTATCCGCTTTTACTCGACATTCAGGCCACCTGATCGCATGCGACAAGTTTTATGCTAATCTCGTCCGACTATATTTTTCGTTTACAAGAAACGACGAGACTGACGAATTGCATGTTTTCCGAAACAAAGTACTTGTCATATTAATAGTCAAACTTTAACCAATTATATTGAATTGTTCTTATACTTTACTTGTACCATTTTTGTGACGAAAATAGAACATGTAAAACATGATATTTTATTTGATGATTTTTTGAATTTTTGATCTTGAAAGTATAACCATAATATATTATGGATAAACCTGTTTTGAAAGAGAGAGAAACTAAAAAGATTATGCCATTTAACGCGATTTCAATTCGATGTCAATATTTTATTTAGGAGATATTTTATTAGGAGATAATTAAAGTATTAAAAGCATATTGGTCGATAACGTGAAACCAATAAATGGAATATGATGAACAAATTTAAAATTAGTAAAGAGATGAATCGATATTGAAATCAAAAAATTATTTCATTTAAATGTAATAATTATTTTTATAATAGTAATTTTATAATTTTTATAATAAAATTTTATAATAGTAATTATTTGTGTTGCAATTGGAATAAAAAAAAGTGAAAAAAAATTTACTTAGATATAAATTATTAAATAAATGTTTCGATAAAAATTATTTGAACTGAGATGCAACAAAATTTAAAAATCGTGATGCGAATTAAGCATCATTTCAAAATTTTATTACGAAAATCTACTGATTATACATATATATAAATTTTGTTACATATAATAAAATTCAATAGAACGATATTGATTCTTAATCATTGAATGTATTAAAATTTAAAATCTTATTTTAAATTTACAAATTTAAATTTTCAAAATTAGTTTACTGAAGTTTATTCAATTATAATTTATTTCCTCAATTTTTTAATTATTTTACTATATGTATAACCTCTATTTATTTACGATCATTAGAATACGCTTTTATAATTATAAAATATATTTTAATCCACAATCAATAATATATCAAATATCACCACATCAATAATACTATCAAAATCAATTTATAATTCACTTACCCGAAATATTCTCTTAATTTATTGCTAACTCGTCAATTTCCGCATCTAACCTCTCAGAAGCAATTCATTCACATACACTACAAAAGAAGAATCAATTGTCCTCAAAATGTCATTCAATTCATTCTATTGTACTCATCCTTATCTCCTCTTACTACGATTGCATATATCGCATTTTTTCATACCTTTAGTTCATTACCATTCGTGGCCTGGATTTCTTGAATCGTTGGATGACGATTGACTAATACGATTGATCGATCTTTTGCCATAGAGATGCAAGAAGTTTCGGGTCGGCGAACGATGCTGTGAATTCGAGTGTCTGGATGATATTGATACGAATTGGACAGGGCCTGATTTGATTATTGCAAATGATTCCTCCAGAATTCAAGAACAAGGGATATTTTGGCTGATGGGCTTAATAATGCTGTTAAGAGCGTTCTAGTTTTTTAACGAGGATCCAGATGGCGTCGTCGATGGAATTCGATCATTATGAAATGTCAACGACAAATATGGACCAGTAAAGGATTAAGGTACGATATAATGTGATGATGAAACATCGCGTTTGTACCTGTTGATTATACCTCGAGAAATAGCGTGTTATAATTATGAAAATTTCTTGCAAATTTTTTTTATTGTTCTTTCATTATGGGTTCATTATAAATTATAAATCAAATGGATTTCATATCCGATAGGCAAGATTAAATTAAATTGGATTGGGATTTAACTTGCTTCTTTATAATATTGACTTATTTCTATATAGATAGACGATTATTACTTAATGTTATAGTTTTTTTTAAATATTATTATATTTCTTTTAATAAATTATTCTTTTAATCTTATTTACATTTTATGATGTTTTCATTAGGAAATATGCACAAAATGATATAATGGTATATGCATACTTCCTAAATTTAAATTTTTATGAATTAAATATTTGTTATTCATCATTGATTAAATAAAAATAAAAACATAAGAAATTGGATAATATTAAAAGTATGAAAATAATAATAATAATTTATCATATGTTTCTCCTTGTTAATAGTAATAATAATAATAATAATAGTTTACAAAAACTGTTGAAACATGTAGGAAATTAAAATTCTATTTTAAACATGAAACATGGCTATTTTGTTTACAAATATTTAATGCATAATAAATTAACAATTTAAATAAATTAAATGAAATGGTTAAAAAAAACTATCGTAAAATAAAAAATAGATTAATCATCACAATTATTTCTATGCTTAACAAACGATTCATAAAGTGATATAAAAACAAATTAGTAGATTATATTATATCTACTAATAGTATTATAGTATATTATTTTTAATATCTCTTTATAACCTCTTGCTTCATAATTTTTTTAATATTATACTTACATATTTCTCGAATTCTTTCATTGCTATTACGAATGAAAAACGATAAAATACGTATATACTTACTTGAATACAGTGTGTATTTTCTACTTGAATTATTGATTATAATCTACAATAAAAATTCATATTACAAAGTAAAGAGTTAAATAAAATTATATAAATTATAATAAAAAAACGTTTTTCTCTGCCGTATTTTAATTAATTCCAATAATTTAAATTATGATAAATTTATAAATCTAAACGAAAGAAATAACAAGGGAAACAATTATGTGACCAAAAAAATAATTAATAATTAATAAAAATAATGCAAAACATTTATGAAATATAGACTACTACTTCTTATACAATAATTTTTTTCGTTTTTAAAGTTACATAATAAATCGAGTTTCTACAACAATGAGAATTAACAGAATTAAAGTAAAACCAGATAAAATTAATTAATTTAAGACAACATCAGAGGGATCAAATCAATGATTTCGAAGTTATGGAACATCGTTGCCAAGAAAAATTATTTTTTCCATAAAAAATTTTTACATCAAATTTGACATACTCGCGGAATATTTCTTAGCCAATAGATGAGCAATAATAAGTGCGCAAATATTTATCAAGAATATAAAGACAAAAATTCCTAGAGGGCAATAATGTCGTTGCGTTTCAAAAATTTATTTTTTCATTATTCATAATAAAAAATCGTAACAGAAAACGATGATTTATTGATGAAAAATGCTTGAAAAAATTCTGTACATATTAGTGATCGTTCCGTTGAATGGTTCGTTCGAATTACGATCATGATTATCGGATGGAAAGGTCGAGAGCTTGGCTAAATATCGACTTTGATGCTTCAACGCCTCGCCTCTTTTTTAGTTCATCAACTTATAGTTTAATCAATATATAGATCTTTTTGAAAAATTCTTTTTGGATTTTTGTTTGACGAAGAATTATCATATCATATTATATTTATAGAAGATTTTTCAAATTTAAAATTTTTAAAAAAGTTTTTTGCTATTATAATTGATATAATTGATTGAGAAAAGTACTTCGAGAATCGATTGGAATTGATAAACTTGGAATATTTTTTTTCTATTGATAACTTGATGAAGAAATATATCCTTGAATAATCCTTATTTATTTATTTTATTAATATTATTCTTTTTTTCTAATTATTTCTATTAAAAAGGACATTATGACATTATAAAGATAACTTCTGGTTGATTGATTAAGTTTGTAATGTTAGAAAAATAGTTTTTATATCAATCAAAATGAAAATAATGACATTGTACATTAACAAGTTAATCCTCTTGTTGTCCGGAGAATCTTACTATGTATCTTATTATCTACTAAGATGATTTCATATTAGTCATTATTCAATTTTCTAATTTAACTATGACGTTTGATTTAATGAGACCGTAATCAAATGATACGATAACAATTTTGTCTTAAAAAGTTTATCTCATGATTCTGATTTAAAGAAAAAAATGAAACTTTTTTATTTTACATCTAAATGAATTTCTTAATGTCAAGAAATTAATAATATCGAAAAAAATTTTTGATTATTTTTTATTAATAAAATATATATTTTTTTGTAATTTTTTATTTCTATTTCTTTTTTTTTAATATTATAATTTCTATTCTATGTATTAAAGAAAAAAGAGGTGTTACAGGAATGCAATAAATAAGTTCTGCAATATCATAGAACTATTCGTATTAGTCGATTAATTGAGGTATTTCAAGACAGCAATATTCAATTCTCAAGATCTTTATTTATTGATTAAAAAATAGTTGAAAATTTATATAGTTTCCTATAGAGAATTTTAAAATTAAAGATTTAAAGAGATTTATTAAATTTACATTTCATTAATATTATAACATTATTAAATCATTTAAGTAGAAAAATTTTTGTTTGATAATATTTTTCTTCTTTTTTAAAAGATATAAAATTTTCATAAAATGATTCTTAATTTAACATGAATACAATTTGTTGTTTTAATTTTTTTATTATCAAAGTTTACTTTTCCTTAATAATTCAAAGTTTTAAAAAAAAAGCCTAGTTTTAAAAAAAAAATTATAAATTCCAAAATTTTCGCGCGCTTTTCGTTTTGATATTTCTCAAAATTTAATAAAAAACATAAATATTAAAATTCGTATTATTTGTGAGCTATTGTTTGAAATGTATATATTAAAAATAAATGTATATATTAAGTTTTGAAAAAAATTACTTAATTATAAATAAATCCATCCATTGTCCATATTATGGCCTATGAATTTTGGCCAAACATATTTAATTTCCGAGAAATGGAAAAATGTGATAGAATGAAAACGATTATTGAAGCAGAAGTAAAATTGTAAAAAGTTTTTAAAAAGTTAATAATAAAGTTGTATAAAAGCCATGGATAAGGCACAAAGAAGGGATAGATAATATTATAAGCGTGGAAACGAATTTCAACATGAGCGAAAATTGATCGAAAGATTGAATTTAATCCTTTGAGGTTATGAAGAGCACGCTTTGATGTCTTGTTTGAAAGGAAAGATCTGGGTTTATAAAAGAATTTTAGATCGTTTAAAGTTAAATGGAAGTTTATTGTTTGATGAATGAGATTATTATTTTTTTAATATAATTTTATTTATATTTTCAGTATTTTAATGAATTTTTTTATATTTGATTTTATATATTTCATTCATAAATTATATTTAATTACAAACAAATTTAAAATATTTAATATTATCTTAAACATTTTCTGTATTAATTTTGAAAATGTTAATTGAACAAATTTCAAATATCATTGAGCATAAATGAATAAATTTACTTTTAAGATCTGTAGCCTCAAAGGATTGAATCATACACATTACAAAATTTTAAAGCTCTATTGAAACACAAAAATCATTAATAGCTACTATTGACATTTATTCGAGCGTAATTACATGTTTTCTTAGTCTAAAATTTTTAAAATATTCAAATATAAATCCAAAAATATAATGTCAAAGCGAATTATCTGTGCTGGCGCAGTAAGGAAATATAAGCATTTATAAACAAAAATACATATTTTCTATGTATAAAAATATATATTAATCCACATAAATACTTTATATATACATATTTGTGAAACACAGTTTTTCAAAGCAATATTATTTATTTAGAAAAAGAAATAGAAAATTATATATAAATATATAATATTACACAGAAGATTTAATAAATATTTTATTACTATTAATAAAATTATTTCTGCTTTTATTAGAATCTAATTAATAGATGTAGTAAAACATTTATCGAATAAAATCATATTGAATACAGACATATGCTCAATGAAATTTAATATAATATAATCTTATAGAATTTTAATGAAAGGGTTATAGTGGACTCAATTTTAATATATCGTATTCGTACGTTAACCTAACCTCAATATTTTCTTCTTCGCTTCCTATCTTATTACAAACAATTATTAAGATTTTACTTTACTATTACTAGTTATTGGAAGAATGATTAATGTATCATACTTTATTCAAAAACTTATTAAAGTCATATTATTAAATCGTGCTATTAATATATCTTATAATTAATTATATTAATTGTGGTTTCTACTATAATGATCTAATCAAAATGAATTGATGAATGACATTTTATTTTCTTAAAAAATATATCTTCTTTTATTTTATAAAAGTAATATAGTAAGATTAATGATACCTAGCAGAGACGATTTCTTTGAAACATAATTAAGTTTGCCATTTTGCAAATATTTTATTATAATTGTCATTTAAGAGTTCATAAATTTATATTTAAATATTTCAAGAAAATATAATTCCATAAAAATATACCAATCATAATGTTAAAGTTTTCAATATTGTTTTAATTTAAGATATAAATTAAAATAAAGACTGAATGATAAAAAAAATATTTAAAAAAAATTAGATTAAGAACAAAAATTAAATTAAGATCGACATAGTAGCTACAGGTGATATAGTAGCTACAGGTATTATACAAGTGAATAAATATTAAATAAAATCTGTGATCTGTTATAACATAAACTAGCAATTCAATTATAAAACAAATATTGTTTAATTATAAGTGCCATAATGTAATCAGAGTGTAAACTCTTTAGTATTGAAATATTAATATTGAATTATTTGATCAATAATATATTTATGATTTATGCATGACGATTTAAAAAAATTTTGAAAAATTATATGATAATTATGAAAATAAAAAAAAATTAATTATACAAATTATAAAATTTCTCATATGAAATTAAAACGTCAAATTAAAGATTGAAATGGAAAAAAAATTTAACCTAATATGTATATTTCATATATTTCATTTATTTAATATTTATATGAAAAAAAGAACATCGTTTCTGCAAGTGTATCAATCCAATAATAAATTTTCTTTTACAAATATATACACTGTGAATTATTTTAAAGTTACATCGACACAAGAGTAATTGGTTCCTCTAAATCGTTCAATTTTCATTTTTTTAAATATATATATATATATTCAAATATTGCATTTGAATTACAAAACAATTAGAAGTATAGAAATCCTATCTAATTGTTTCCTTTGTTTCCTAGGACTGATATATTTTTCAATGAATTATTAAACCATATAAATTTTATAAATTCAATTTAACATAAATTCATTTAACAATTTAACAAACATTTAATTGCATTATTTTATATCAAACATTTATTATTATTATTTTTTTTTAACTAATACTTTATCTTAAATGAATTGTAAAATATTCTAAATATTTAATATTGATAATCATAATAACTTCTTGATAATCACAAATAATTATTATTTGATTTCAAGCTAAAAATTTACATATATTCGATATTATTCATCAGAAAGAATGATTCAAACTTTTTTAAAACTAAATTATTGACAGAATTTCACATTCTAGATCAAATGAAAATAATTGAAAATAAACTATATTTTTCTTGTTTTTAGAGAAAAGTTTAAGAATTTTTTATTTCGTTCTAATTTCGTATTACTCACTATTTTCACGATTATGTTTCTTGAATATCGTTATATATTCAACACAGCGATTTTACTGTATTCACATTTCGAAAAAATGTGAACAAAGCATTAGATGGCGTTATGAATTTCATTGTTTTCATACATTCCTAGTTTTAACATCATTTGTATACGAGTACATCTATAAATATATGTTTTCAATATTCTTTTTTCATTTTGATGGACTAATTTTTTGAAATAATTTCACATTTCTCATTTTATTTTTTTTTAAATTATTGTATTTAATTATTTATTTATGTTTGATAATAAATTATTGATAATAAATAATAATAAATTTAATTTAAAAAAATAATTTAATTTAAAAAAAATAAAAAATAATTTAAATCATAATTAATTAAAATTGAAAAACAAAAATATAAGATGAAATATAAACAATTATATTCAACTATTATAAAATGATAACAAATAATTTCACAAATATGAAATTGTCAAAAAAGATAATACTATAAATGAAATTGGAAGCTGACTAGTCGAAGATTAGATTTAGTTAAATTGATAAATAAGTTGTGAACTATTATATTATATTATAAAGGCTGGAAAATTATTATTAAATATCAAATAAACTAAAAGCGTGCTGATTATACTTTATAACTATTATGAGAAATTAAAATTTTTATATAATAGTAATAAATAAATCATACTTTGAACTGAAATATAATCTAATGAATTTTTTAATTATTAATTCACATTATGATATATAATATTATATAATATACATTATTTATTAATAATAAATTTTTAATTTCATCATTCAATATTAAAAATATAACTATTCTTAAAATTAATTATGTGCTAAATCAATATCATTGATGATTAAAAATCAGAAATTCTCTTTCCATTTGAATGAAAAATATTCTATAGAAGCCACTAGGAATGTTAGTAATATTGCGTATAATGTTATTATTCTCGATTAAATTGTCATTATTGTTGAGTTAAAATCTTTTCTATTATATTGTTCTGTTAAATTTAATCTATTAAACTTATTAAATTTACACCCAATTATATATTATATATATATATATATATATTTATTATTATTATTATATCATATATATATTTATTACTATTATTATATTATATTTATATTATATGTTTATTACTTATACAATTATATATATATATATATATATATATATATATATTTATGTTTTGATTGATCATAAAAATAAAATATATTATTGCAAAATTTTTAAGATAAGAAAATGTTTAAATAATGAAAAATCAAATGATAGAAGATAGAATATTTGTTATATTACATTTTATTAAAACAATATTTTTTGTCTTTTAATAATTAATGTTTTTTAATTGGTAAAAAAATTTAATAATTTTAATTTAATAAATTTAAAAAAAATTTGAAAATTTCAATTTAATTTATTCAGAAATCTAAATCTTTAAATCTTTAATTTTAAAAAATTTTAATCATAAAATAAGAAAAATTAATAAATTATAAATGAAAACAAAATTTATTCCGAAAAATAAATATATAAATATATTAATTTATTTATTTAATCATCGATAAATTTTTCTGCTTATATCATCTTATATTTTATCTTATGTGTTGTTGTCTACTAATTCCAGTTCTATATATTATTAGCAACCAATACACCAAAATTGTTAGCAATTATTGCGTAAAATGGATTTTAAATTTGTTGTAAATAATCAAATTCAAGCTTCATAGAGATTATACAACAATTCGTTCTCCTAAATATTACTAAAAAATTACTAAAAAATTATTTATGTGAATAATTTTTATTGGTTAAATTATAATATGTGATAAATCGCGATGAAATCTAAATTAACATAAAAAAATTGAGTATTTCCAAGCAAAAATAAACTATTTTCTGTTATTTGTAGATGTTATTATTTCTTTCGATATATTTGATAATGAAGATAATGAAGATATTTTATATATCTAAAAAAAAAATATATCGTGAAAAACTTTTTCTTTTTTAAATATTTAGAAATTCTGATTTGCTATGCGGAAATTTAAAAAAAAAAATTAAAAAATAGTTGATATATATATATTTAATCTTATTAACTTCCTGAAAACTATTACAATAAATATTGATTATACTTAACTCTAATATTATTTTTATTAGCAATTTTCTTATTTATTGATCCTTTTCTATGAGTTTTCTATAATAGTAAGATCTTAATGATAAAATTTTATCAATCAGATTTTAATATTAATAAATGATATCAAAACTTTTCAATTAATAGTTATCGAAAAAAATATTTAAGATCTTTATTATTTTATATTTAAGATTTCGAACGACGAGCATTTAATAAAATTGATACAATGTAAAATTCGATATCTTGACTTCTATATAAAACAGCTTCTTCGCTTTAAACATATATTTATATTATATTTTTATTAAATTATATTTTATAAAATAAAAACTAGTTCATCAATAAATGTTACAGACTGTTGTTCATAAAATTCTGTCTAAAGGAATTGCCGTTAATTTAAATTAAATAATTCTACTTGTCGTACAGGGTATTAAATAAATTATTTATGATAAATAAGCATACGTCCAATACAATTCGAACTCAAAAGTTCAATATTATATTGTCATGACAATAGCTTAATTTTCAATCTTTTTATGTATTGATTATTATTATTTACTCAGAATATCCGTTGTAAATGAAAGCAGAATTATCAAAACGATAAGTTTTTCTAAAAAAAAAAGATCTAAAAATCTAATTTTTAGATATTAACTTATCCTATGACCAATAAAAAATATAAAAATATAATCACGATTTCAATCTATTAATATCTAATTATTTTCAATCAATGCGTATAACCTAAAAATCAAAAAGATGATCGTTATCAACTTGTATTTATCTTATAAAACTTACTTGTTTTTTATTAAATTTATCGTCGTGCTTATTGATAATTTATAACATGTAAAATTTCTGTAACATTATTTTTTAAATAATGCAAAAGAATTCAGAAAATTTCATAAAAACATGATAATTCGCAAAGAACAATGTTCACACGTGACAAATTGGCGTTGTATTAGAATTTTTGACGCGAATGTCAGTAGTATTTGAAGTGGGGATATAAAGCACAATGTACAGCATGTTTCGAATTCATTATGTATTTATAAAGGGCTGTCAATTCAACGGATGGTCCGGGTAAATTTAAATTGTAAGTAGACGCATTGCAGATTTCAAGTAAAAGCATCGATAAAAGCGAATATGATATGCAAAAATGTCTATTTGGAAAAAAGAAAACTATATATTTTTATTTGTAAAGTTTGAATATTTTTAATATCAAAAATATTCAAGCTAAAAATGTATTGGTTTAACTTATTCGAGGTCAAAATTTTATTATAATATTATTTATCTTTAATTTTTTATACTATATATTTTTATTTTAAATTTATACCAATTTTAATCTTTATCCTTCATATTTTTACAATATAAAATTGTATATTATATTATATGAAATCGTACATTATATAATAATTAATTATATAATTAATATTATTATATTATAAAAATATAAAAAAAAAGTAAAAAAAGATTTTTAAGATGTCTTATTAAAACCTATTCAGAAGAAACATCTTATAATATTTTGATATTGATTGATTGATTTTAAATAATTTTCACACATATAACATAATCATTCGTTTTAAAATAACTTTTTAATTAATTGATAATTTATTGTTTTATTCGAAAGAAAAAATTTTTAATTATATGCATAAGTTTAAATCAAACTTTGTACATGTATTTTATATCATATATATTATAATAAAAATTATATATATATATATATGTTATAAAATATATTTATATATATATACTTATGTATATCGTATTCTTGAATATAGATTAATTACAATATATTTTGGCCTTGAATATATTAAGAAAAAATAAAATAAATCATTGTAATTAATAATAAGTTTCGAAGGTAAATATATAAAGAGAAATAAACTAAATTATATTGTTTGAAGATATATTATGCTCGAATCGATAGCTCTGTTCTTTGTTTCTTTCGAATTTCTGATAGCATGTATAATATAAGAAATCTAAAGTCAAAAGCATTAAGGAATGCAATTTCTTCATTTCAGTCGCAAAGTTCAGCGATTATTTGGCATCCCTCATTTTATTGCGATCTGATTTGTTTTAAAGGAAGAGAAAACAAAAACAAAAGAAGATGATGATTTGTATTATTCTTACTTATCTTCTTCGAGGGATAATGTGAACTCTTTCCAGCTGATGAATAGCCGACAAATGAATTGCGACTGAATTTCTTCTTATTATATTAACAGAGTTTTCACGTTTTTGCTCTCTTTAACCTTCTATCGAGACAGGCGTTGAATTAATGATCATTAATTGACCAATTTCTCTAAGCTTATAACTTCGAATTAATGTTTACATAAAAAATATTATTAATCTATTTAAATGTAAATATTTAGACTTATATAGATTTAATATTGCTATATATACGATAATTAGCCTACTCACGCTGAAATTTGTATCAATATCTGGCTTGCTCACTGATTAGGATCAGTTTATTAATTATTAAATCGATATATCGTTTGTTGCATCTAAAATCGATATACTAATATTAATTTATACATGCTACAATTTACATTATGAAACCTAAAAATGAAACCTAAATGAAACCTAAAAACGCAATGTTTCATCGTGTGTAGGCCATTATATGAGAACTACCTTGATTGTGAGGTTATCATTTAATCATCAAGAGGCCTTTCATGTATGAATAATTATTTTAAATCCATCACAGATTATAACAATTTATTTAATTGATAATAAAGATATTTAAAATTATATATATTTTTTTGTGTTCTTAATTGTATATTGTTGATGTAGGATATAACATAATACGTTGGATGCAATATAAAATGGATTCTATATCACATTACATCTTGTATATATATTCCTATAATCAATTAATATAAATAATATATTATTCATAGATATTAATATCTTATTATTAATAATTAAATTTATATAGTATTATTTTTTAATTATTATAATTTGCATTATTATTTACAAAATTATTTATAAAAAATTATTATTTAAAATATTTTAACTCTAATTATTTGTATTTTTTATTTATTTTCATTTAATATGAATAAAATATAATATGTGAAAATAGAGACTTACATAATATTATTAAAACACTAAAAATATGATTTTATATTTCAGTATAAAATTAATCTTTTTTCCAGATAGTGTCATACAAATCGGTACGTCTCTGATAAAATACGGGTATTTGAGCCCTTACCTCTTCAACAATTTTCAAATCTGTTATTAAAATAATAAATTGATGTTAAAAAAATAAAAAAAAAGAGAAAACAAAAATAAATAGATTAATTAATTTAAAAATAAATTAGATTACTTTTCATGTTTTATATTAAATTGTCAATTACCAATATCGGTGACTACCATGCTCTCATGAGTTTCCAGATCATGAAGAATTTCTCCCCAGGGACTAGTTAACTGTGTATGACCCCATGCGACATAACTGGCCGAAGGATTCCGAGCCGGAGATATACCAGCAATGTATAATTGATTGTCATTCGCTCTGGAACGCTGAAGCAATGACCAATGCAGTGGTCCAGTGGTTAAATTGAATGCCGCCGGATATATTAGCATTTGGCAACCTAACCGGAGAAATGGAAAATATGAAATTACGAAATATCAGTTATATAATTCTGTAATATTCACAATTTATTGTAATATTTCACAATTTAGAAATATATAATATTTATATACTATTTTTATTACAATGATTTTATTATAATTATACAATTTTAAGATGCAGATATAAAATAGAATTATTTCTTCGTATATTTTCTTAAAATTATTTAAAAATTATTTACAAAAATGTAAAAATTTTAATGAAATTAAAATTGACATTTGCAATGTTAATTAGATTAAAAGATAATTGTAAAGATAAAAATAATCTAATTATTATAAATATGAAGTTAAAAATCTAAAAAAAAATTTTAGAATATGAAACTAAAATTAAATTTAAAATGTAGAACAAATATTGCAAGATTTTATTTTATATCTATATATATTAATTACATTTTAATATTTAAATAAAATTTAATTGTTTTATTAATCAATGTGGTAGGATTTTCATTAATATTTAATAATATAGATTGAAAAAACTCAATTATTAATGAACGTTTTCATGTTTTGGCAAAAATATTAATAATAATTACTATTTAATAATTTTCACTCATCATACATTGATATAATAAAATACCGATAATGGAAACTTAATATTTAATCACATCCATGGCATAAGTAAAAAGATTTACATGTACAACACATCTAATATACATTCAATCTGATAATTTTGATACGAGAATTAAATATAGTAAATATTTATTCAATTATAAACATATTTTTAGTAGAAAATAAAAAATTAAAATTAAAAAAAAATAAGTATAAATAATATAAATAATATTATTGAGTCTCATTAACCTGAATTCTTTATTATATATATAAGGAAAAAAATATATAAAAAAATATATATAAAAAAACCAAATTTAGTTGGTTACTGTACCTTTATTTCGATAAATGCGTGCCATTTCCTCAAATCTAATATCATAACAAATGCCAATACCAATTTTGCAATTCTTCACTTCAAACATTGTCAAAGAATTACCAGAACTGAGTGAATCACTCTCGCGAAAAATAATTTTATCAGGAATGTTGATATCGAATAAATGCATCTAATAACATAAAAAATTAAACCCTAATTATATTACTACAATTTTTAAAATTTAATATCGAAGTTATTGACAAATTTTATCATTAATTTTCTTTAATTTTTTACTTTTAGCAATTGAAAGCACTATTTTTCACTATTTTTTTTATAAAATATTAATCTTTTAAATAATTAAAAAGATTTACATGTACAACACATCTAATATACATTCAATCTGATAATTTTGATACGAGAATTAAATATAGTAAATATTTAAATTAATTTTATATAATTATATTATAATTTTATATAATTATATATATTTAATTATATAATAATTAAATATAGTAAATATTAAAATTAATTTATAAAAAAAACTTCTGTTACTTCTGTTATGAAAGAAATATTCATTTTCTTTATCATAATATAATGTAGAGAATACAAATTATTATATCGGTTTTAGAATACGAGAAATTTTCTAGAATAATCATTTTTCAATCATTTTCAATTCATTTTTCATCAATTTTCTAGAAAAAATCATTTTCTGTTCCACTATTTCCAATTTCGCTATCATAAAGGCATATATTGCTTACCTTTCGGTGTTTCGCTATCAGAGTCCCATCAGGTCCCCAAATAGTGCAAGTATTGAACAATTTATCACCATCTCTTTCAGGTATTGTACCACCAACTATATAAATGTTGTTTTCTTTAGCAGCTTTTGATAAAGCGACGCTCGTTTCTCCATCAGGAATATGCTCAGCATATTTAGGAAAGTATTCTACAGTGCAATATTCCAATTAATTAAAAAATCTTTTGTTTGAACCGCAAATTATATTAAAAAAAAAATTTTTTTTAATTTTATTGATTAATAATTATTTATTTAAATAAATAATAAGATAAATAAATTTGATAATTCTTATTTATTTATTTATTTATTTTTTCTTTCTTTAAATTAATTCTTAATTAATTCTTTTTCTTGCGTTGATTATTTCTATAAAATATAATTAAATTATTTCATCAAAAGAAAATGAAAAATTTTTTATTCTTTTATTCTTTCGTAATTTAAAAAATTATTTTTTCAATAGTACATTTACAATAGTTCATTTAAATATAGAAAAATTCAAAATGTATATATGTATATATATTTTACTATATTTTATATATTTATATATATTTTATATATTTTACTATATTATATATTATACTATATTTTTTTCTATATTATATATTATATAATTTTTTATAAAATTTAAATAATGATTAAAAAAAAAATGTGAATAAAAAATTTGAATGATGCATTTGAAAGGCAGTTTATTACTCAACAACTTCGTCAGTACTTCTCGAAACAAATTTGGTTTTATAAGTACAGAAATATTGAGAATTATTAAAAATGTATTTATAAAAAAAATATTATGAAATTTTATAAAATAAAAACTGAATGAAATATGCAATCTCCATAAAAACAAATACTTACAAATAAAATATTTTATATATCTTCTGTTCTATTTTTTAAAAATATTTATTAGAAAAATATTAGTTAAAAAATTATTACGTATTCCATATGGTGAATTAAAGCATTCAGGAAGAGCGACAATGTCAGCATTCTGCTTTTTTGCACTTGAAATGTATGAAACTGCCTTTTCTATATTCTTGGTTTTTACTTCATGAACTTCGAGCTGTACTAATGATAATCGAAATGCTGAAAAAAATATTGGAGAAGTTAAACAGATTAAATTATATATTTTTCGAAATTTATCTATATTAATCTAATATTTTATAAAAATTAAATACTTACTCGACATTGTTCGCACTATTTGTTTAGCGATGTTCATAAGTACCATAATATTTTTTGAGGTTATCTATATTAATATTCTAATATTCTATATCAACGTTATGTAATCAAATAATTTCTGATACTGTAAAAACTAATGTTGATATATAATAAAATGTATATTTTATACAATTATGTAATCTTTCAAAAATTTTATAAAATATTAATAAATTATTTTTAATGATTTCTATAAAAAAAGGTAGATTTTTTAATTTATAAATAAGAATAAGAAAAAAATGATTTTGTAAAAATACATTTTATTAAAAAATGTGTATAAACAAAATTGTACAATTTGCCACGAAATTAAAATAACGAAATACATATTTGATAATTATCGTCTACTAGAAGATCGAGATCTTGATCTTTTTCGTTTTTTTTGTTTCCATCTATCTGTATAATCTTTTTTTTCTCTAGTTTTTTCTTTTTCTTTATCTTTTTTCTTGTGTTTTTTATTCGACCTTTCTGGTGAATAATGTTTTTTTTGTTTCTTTGATTTTTTAGATTTTTTTGATTTATAAGAATCACTACTAATGGAACTACTTTTTTCTCTTCTTCTCTTTTTTCCATGATCACTATCATTGACATCAGATTCAGAGTATCTTTTTTGACTTTTTGATTTTTTATCAGTTATTTTATCATATTTTTTCTTATCATGTGTAATACTTTTTTTTTTCTTTTCATTATTTTCATCGTCATCCAAATTTTCAGATTTTTCGGAAGATATCGATTTTCTTTTTCTATCTGTTTTCTGTTTAAATTCCTTACTTTCTTTATCCTTATATTCTTCATATTTCTTCGCATCTAAAATTAATCCCATAAAATACTAAAAGCCAAAACATTTATATTTATTACGATTCTTATAAAAAATGAAGAGACCTTTAAAAAGCATGTGTAATAATATCATGAAATTGTGATAAATATATTATTAAAAATTAATAAAATAATTAACAAATTTTATTCTCATTTTATTAATAATTTAGATATTGAATTCTTTTTAAAAGTCTCTTAATGAAAAACTAATTATTCATACTAACTTAAAACTTTTGAATTTTTTGAATATTCTGATTTAGTTACTGGCTGAACCATAAATTCATTTACAGATATTATGCTTCCACCAAGAGCTAATTTTATTATGAGCCTTCCTGCATCATCATCAAATCCTTCTATTTGACCATAATTATTACTTTGTTTTCCAGCTATAATTTTTACAAATGTTCCTTTTTCTATTTTAAGTTCTTCTTCTTGTTTGTTAGAATCTGTGTTTTTTTGTTGAGTTACTTTATCTGCTCCAAGACCCATACCTTTTGGTCGTAATTCTGGTATAACTGCTGATACAACTCTATAACAATAATATTAAATAAAATTAAAAAAAATAATTTTTTTTACTTCTTAATATATTATATTTAATAAATATACAATATTAAATTTATATAAAATAAAATTCTTACTTTTCATTTCTACCAATTCCTTTTCCTGGTTGCCAACCCATTCCTCGTAACATTGCGAAACCATAAACATCAACAGGAATTCTTTCATAATCTTCTAATGTAGACTGAAAAAATAAAAAATATATAATTTATAATATATAAAAAAAATTTATAATAATTTATAATATACAAAAATTATCGATATCATATATACATAATATCCATATGTTAATAATATACCTGTTCTTGGCCTCTTAATGATTGATCTTCTACTAAAGGTAAAGTAAAATCATTTGTTTTTGTTTCCTGCTGCTCCTTTAATTTCAATTCTTCAATAATTTCTTTAGCTGCTTGTTCTTCTAATGTAACAACTTTATTATCCACTAATTGTTCTAGTTCTTTTGTTATAATTTGTGGTGAAGCATTTCCATTAGATAATTTTGACTTGACTTCCTTATTAATATTAACATCTTCTGTCTTTTCTTTATTTTCTTTAGGTTCAAAAATATCTGCATCGATATGATTAATAATTCTGTCATGCCAAGTTTTTGAACCTAATAATGGAATGACGAGAGGTTCATCTTTTTTTTCCTCTTCACTGAAATAAAAAATTATTTCCAGAAAAAATTTATTATGAAATTATAATATAACTATATAAATTAATTATTGTCAGGTTTTATAGGTTAGGTTGAGGTTATGTACAAAAATTATATTTTTTGACTTACCCTATTACTTTAATATTTTTCTCATCAAGACATTCAATATAATCAACTTTTTTTTCTTCTTGTGGCACAATATTTTTTAATACAGGTTTCTTAATAGATTTTGCAAAACCGAAGGAGACTTTCTTTCCTTCTTCTGCCATTTTTCAATAATAAGCATTGATTTACAGATTAATGTATATAAAATATAAATAATAATTTTTATAAATTATGTACATGAACTTAAACATCACATTTCATTAATTGATTTAAAGTACTTTAGAAATTCTTAAAACACTGTTACTGTACGTTATATATACTTGAATAAAGCGACATTAGAGTCACTAACCTATACTGATAACGTATAGTATTTTCTTAAGTCAAAAGATCAATATTATGTATTCATATGAATAGAATGTTTGTTTCTCTTAGAACTATATTCTGATAGGTTAAATCTTAATGAAACATTATATAAATTTCATATAACATATTGTTCAAATGTAATATAAATTTAAATCGAAAATATATAACATAAATATTTTATATTATACATTCTCCTTACTATTAATCAATCGAAAAAATTTTAAGAATTACACATGATTATATATAATTATATTTTGAAATAAAGACATGTTTAATTATCAAATATCTTATTAAATAATTATAAATATATTATTTTTATACTGTATTTATAATTATATTTATGTGTTTATAATTATATTTACAAGTTACATGTTTAAAATTAAATATAAAAAAATTATATATAAATTTATATTATGTATTATATTTAATGTTTAACATCATAATTCTCTCATAATATATCTAAAAAATTTTTATTTCTTGAAAATACTGTATACTATAAGCTTTTGATTCTACCCTAGTTTATGCATCATAGCGCGTGACAGCACTATTATGTATTATGTTATTTATATTTTATTCAAGATCATTCTATTTTCAGATTGCACTCTCTATTCCGTTGTTTTGTATTTTGTAAATTACTACATAGAGATGCAAAGTGAAAACTATTTTTTCATTAAAGTTTGATATATTTTCTATCAGAAAAATAACAAATTTTAAATCAAGTTAATAAATCAAGATAGCGACAATAAATCATATTATTCCTATACTTTATTTGATGTTTAAAAGAATTATTTTTTTCTGTTCTTTTGTCAAAATAAAATATATATATTCAATTAATAATTATAATAGATAATCTTGATAATTTTTTAATGCATAAAATATATAAATATATACATATGAATAGATAGATTATTTTCATTATTTCTTTATTTCATGCGCTTCTAATTTTTAAGATTAATAAATATGTATAAATGTTCATAATTAAGATTGGTAAAGATGTATAAATTTATAATTATAATATTGAAATGATGATAAATACATGATTGATTTTAAAGATCTTCTATTATATATATATATTTTTTTTCTAAGAATTTTAAATTCTTAATTTTTTTTAATATTTTAAGATATTTAATTATAATATAATATAATAATTTATTTATTTTGCATGATTAATGCGATAATTTATTACTTTCCTTATTTCAATAAACTTTAAAAACAATCGTCTTTGATCATGTTGGTACGCAAATTATGGAGAAAGCTATTTACTTATCTTTTGATACAAGAACTACAGTTAAAAACAACTACCAATTGAGAACGGTAGTTAAGTCTGTAAAGAGAGGGGTGAGCGTGTTTTAGCGGCGACAATAGCACGATATTCAGATACGAAGCCAGGGTAAACCGGGAAGCCGTAGTTCGTGAACTGTAGTAAGTGTGGTAACTCCGGACAATCAACGACATTCGGAAGCCGGCAACGCTCTGAAATTCAGGTAAATCTATACATTTTTTAAATAAAATTTTTTTTTTAGATTATTTTTTTTATAAATTATTATAATTCTACATCCATAATATATGAATGTTTAAGAATTATTAAGAATTTTATATTTTTGAAATATCAAATAATTTTATCAAATTAAATGTAATTATTAAATTATATATTAATGATGCATTTAAATTTTTATTATTAGATTTTGTCATAAAAAATATGAATGAATGAAATTATTAATCTTTTGTTTCGTTTGTATATACAGTAGATCATAAATATATTACCGCATAATTAATGATTGATGATATAAATTCAATATCAATAATATAATTTTTATTTTTTTTATATACATCTGACAGTGTATTTTAGATCATTAATTTTAATATGTTGATGATTTGAAATATAATTGCAAATTAAAGTGGTCCACGAGACTAACTGTAAAACACCGAGCGGTAACTACAAAGTTGATGTTAACGGAAGAGATCTTCCTGCCAAAGATTTGTTCCGCTATGTTGAGACATTCTATCCTTTGTTTCTTCGTCGTTTTTATTTCTTCTTTTTATCATTAATATACAAGTTCTTTAATTTAGCAATGTATCCTATAGAACAAAAATTTGTTATTATATATATCTACAGTTTCCTTCAACATAGTCTATGAACCGATTAATATAATAAAAAAATAGAATTATACTGTAGATTTACTGTAATATTCAAATATTGTTTAAGGATATGATATTTCTACGAGTTTATGCTATAAATAATTTCGTTTCTTTGATGATATTGAATAGTTTTATAATTAAAATAAATACATAATTAGAAATTAGGTTATGTAAATTAATAATAATAAAATTAAATATTTTAGATTATTACTAAAATCGTTCGATTTTCAATAAGTCGTTTTATTCAATTTTCAATAAAAATTTATAAGAAAAGCAATATTTTTTTTTTTATTTAATTTCATATATCGAAAATTAGAGTAATTCACCATTCATTATAAAGAATTTTTGACAATGTTCATTGTTGCCGAATGTTTTACAAGCGAAACCAACTGGCGGCGCTCGTGCATTGAACTCTTCGTATGGTTGCGCGCGCACACATATTGACAAGTCAAATTCTAGTTCGATTTCGCGGGAGAATGCTATGGTAAATGTAGTCGAGTGAACAATCATGCGACCGGATCTACATGTTGTCCGGAACTCGTCGCATAATGCTACGGAAACGACTGGTAAATTATATTTGTCATGGGGAATCGGTAGTTGGGGACATGATTTTATCTGACCGTGCAAGTTTACCGGACGGAACGGTCATTAAACGTCTGTCGCTAAGTTTTCATGGTTTTTAGTGAAAGCTTAAGATTTATTTATTTCATTTAGACTAATAACATTATTGATGGATCATTACTATCTTCTTTTTTTTTTTTAATATTTGAACTCATATTATTTACATTGTACACACATCTACATTGTTGTATATAAAAAAGGAAGTTCAAATATATATATTCGTCATATGGATTGAATTAACATCGTGTGAATAATTCTCTCATTTTTTGAAGTTCAAAAATAATAATGTACAAAAAAATATTTTTAAAAAATACAAAGAGAATAGTTAAATAATAATAAGTTAGAATAGTTAAATAATAATAACAATTATTATTCTTTTTTTTTTAGATAAGCGAATATGTTACTTCTGTTTCAAATATCGCTGCTATTGTTCCTGATAACAGAAATCGGCACAGTAGGAGTTGGAAAAGCATGGCAAATTCTTCCATACACAACCGATTACTGGAATCATCCATCATGGCCGCGACTCGATTCTTCTGCGTTCGAAGTTCGCAGCGTGAGTGGTGTCGGTCATCTTAATCCTTCAGAAACCACTCAGACGAAGCTAAAACTTGACCATTCAAAATCCATCCAGCCCAATATTATTCCGTTATCAAAATCAAACGTTTTATTCAACCAAAAGTATTTCAATCAATTCGAAACAAATTTTGAAGATTCTTCCTACGATCATTACGAAAACCAAGACGAAATGAATGATGCAGCGGAAGATAAGATATTTAAAGCAGGAATAGCAATGACTGTTCTAGATCCAAAAGACAATAAAGATTTATTAAAGAATATTGAAGACGAGACAAAGAAAATTGTACCAAGGTTTCGTCGTGACGCAAAAAACGAAACAAAAAAGATGGAACAAATATCTACTAGTAAAAATGTTCGAGAGATACGTTTAAGTTCTCCAGATGGTTGGTCCACTCAACCATTATCCATAGAGTTTCCCCATAGATCTAGTTTAGATCAAATGATTCAGCAAACAATGGATGACGAAGAATTGCCAAATGCAAGGAGTTATCACACTCCACGAGCTGATTTTATAACCAGTCACCATAGAAGAAGTTACGAACATCGAGAAGCTCGAGATATGCCTATCACTAGAGCCTATGATGATTATGATGTTCCATGGTACAGGAGTACCACCATCAGGGAACGAGACTATGAACCTCTAAGTTATCGTCGTGGATATAATTATTATTATCCTGATCGATATAGAATGGAAAGAGACTATTATATGCGAGTTCCCCCCAATGATTATTCTTATTATTATGATCGGTATAGGGACGAGGATTTAGATCTTTATGGTCGTAGCAGACCAACGCCCAAGCCCAAGAGGATTATCTACTATGCAACATTGCCGGAAATAGTAAGGAAACCTGTAGATCTGAGAAATTATCCTAGACCATATGATGGAACTAGAACAGGACCAGTTTCTAGGGATGGAAATTATAAACGTATTCCAGGGAATGTTGATCCTAGTAGATATCGATATAGACACGCATATGATGGTTATGATAATTATTCAAAGAGATCGAGCTTTGTAGATAGGCCTTATCCATATCCTGAAGAGGAGAGTCGTCGCAAGATGACGTTAGAAAATCTTCGAAATAACGATCCATTTGATCAAAATAATGATAGGAAATTGGCGAATCAGATTGCGGTAAGAAATGAAGGAAAGTTACCCTGGCCAGTGCAAATTGGAACGGAAGTGAGTGTGAAAGATGACGAGAGAATCTCTGGAAGAAAGATTTTTGGAGAAAATAATGGATATGACAGATTCCAGAGTGCGCAGTTACAAAAGGCACCAGATGCAACTGGATCCAGTGAATTACAAAGCGATAATTGAACGTAGCATGAGTTCTTTCTTAGAAATTAGTGAATTTTGAAAAGAATTTTTGGATACTGTTCGCTTTGATATACTGTTGTCTTTTTCTATTGGTATAGAATTGGATAGTTTTTACTGTAAAAATGAATATTGATATTAAAGTTTAATCGAATATGTGAAAGAGTTAATATGCAATAATACTTAATTTATAGTTTAAAGCAGAAAGTATAATAATTGAGAGATGTTCGCCTTATAAATTCGTGATTGATTTAACATTAACATTATATATTGATATTTATAATTTATATAAGTTAATTTATATAAGAATATCTTTTGAAATAACATCTCTATGATGTATTGATTTACAGATTTTTAATTAATTTATACTAATTATTATGGATCATCACTAAAAATATTAACTATATATATATATATATATATTTACTACTTATATAATATTTTTTACAAAACTCTTTCTAAAAAATTTATTACATTAAATTTTTATTATCAAATTTTTAAAGATAGAGTGCTGATAACAGTTTTTAAATCATTTTTTGTATTAGACTGAATTTTTAAAAAAGGCGAACTATATTTATTTTTTAATAATATTGAAAATAATGCATTACATATTTTGTTTATTAATATACAGAAAAACAATTTTGAAAAAAACATATATAATCCCACTTTTCTTTGATTTTCTTCATGTCTTTATTTTCTTTGCTGCTTTTTTCAATAAAAACTTCGATAAATCTTTGGAAAAATGATCTGTTTTCGTTATTCGATTTAATTCAACAATCCATGAATTAATCTATAAAAATTATTAAACATTTTATTTATAATTATTATCTTTTTTTGTAAATATATTCATTTAATGAATTAATTATTAGCAATAAATTACCGAATTTTGAGTTTTTCCATTAATGAAACCAGATAATTCATCTGGAGTCATATTCAAAATATTACAGGCAGTTTCTTGAGCTTCTCTTTCACTTGCTTCACTTTCATTTGAGCTTTTGTACGATTTATGATCTATTTGGTACTCATAATAAAGTTTCTTTAAAAATTCCTAATTTAAAATAACATTTCTGAACGTTTTTCATAATCTGAAAAAAATGTTAAAGTTTATATAATTGCAATGCTATACCTTAATAGCATTCAAGTATTCGACATTCTCATTTTGGGTAATTGACATTTTCGTTTTTAAAGTCTTAATAATTTCTTCATATTTAGTTCTAATAATTTCAATTTCTTGTTGAATCGTTTCTTCACATTTTTTGGCACATTTTGTTTCCATCTAACATTAAATATATATTTAATCTATAAATTATTTTCCTTTTTTATGTAAAAATTATTAATATATTTAATATATTTTACCTTTTCCTTTATATCTGTTTTTGATTTTTCCTTGTCTGAAAGTAGTTTATCTTTTTCAACACTTAAAACTGAAATCTAATAAAAACAAAATATATTAAATCTACTAAAAACTTAATTTCAAAATACATACTTTTGCTCTCAACTGTGAATTAGTGCTTCGAATATTGCTGATCTCGTTCTCCAAACTGTTAATTTTAGATGCCAATTGATTGTTTTCTTTAGTTAAATCTTTCAATTGACTTTTGTAACTGTTCAGTAAAAATCCTTTGTTGGCATTTGCCGAGTCCGATCGTATTAATCTAAATTGTAACAATTTATTTCTTTCTTATTGATTTTCAATGTCAAAATGTAAAAGATATTTTCTATCAAAAAAAAAAAAAAAAAGATTATAATTAAACAGATTATAATAACTTCTACATCTGGTAAGTAAAGAAAAGACTATAGATAATGTTCCATATATTTAAATCCTATACCATTTGAATGGTATCAGATATAATTAATTCTTCATTTAAAAAATTTCAAATACTTTTGTTTAAGTTGAATAATCGTCGCAGAATCTTCTTCAGCTTTTTTCTTCAGATTGACTATTTCTCTGTTCCTCGTGTCTCGAATCATGTTATGCTCCTTTCCCGAAGTTTGCTGCAACCATTCTCGTGTTTCATCGATCTTCTTTCTCAAGGAAACGTTCTCGCTTATCAATTCGTTCAAATTCGTTTCGGCGGCTTCCATTTCTTCCTTCAGCTGATCGAAGCATTTGCTCATGGAATCGTGTTCTTCCGATTTGTCTTTCAGCATTTTTCGGGTCGTTGTCAATTCTTGTTTCAATTTATTTGATTTCGTTACAGCCATCCGCAACTGGCAGAAGTGAAACAAGTCTTTGACATATTACATCAATAAATATGATTTGTTATGTAGAATTTATCATTTTATTATCAAGGAATAAATAATGATATTGCTTTTGAATTATGAATAGTTAATTGATATTTCTAGTTTTAATAAATATGAGAAAGAATGAGAAAGAACAATAAGGAACAGTTTTTCGATTATTTTTAATCAATAATAAATATAGTAAATATAATAATAGGTAAGTATAGTAAATATAGTGATTAGCGCTTACCTTTTTGTGTAATTTATTCATAATTTTCTTTTGATATTTTAATTTTCTACAAGGTTTAGTTTGAAAAGTATTGCATTTTCTACGATCCATGGAATAGGGACCGAAATTTTCCAAAACAGAAGTACAAATACGCACAATTCTTTCTTGCAATATTTCGTTTTCTTTTCGAGCTTCTGCCTTTACATTTTCTAAGGATCTAAGTCAGATACAAATAAAAAATATATCTATATTAGTATGTAAGTAAAATATCTTATGCAATCTTACTTCTTATATTTTTCCTTTACAGCAGATTTTGCTTTTAAAGCTTCTTCAAGCTCTTCTCTTGTTCTAGTGAGCTTTACTTCAAGTTCTGCTATGATTGTTTTGTATCTAATGATTACAATATACATAAAAATGAATTAATATAATTTTATTAAGAATAAATTTATTTATATATTCATATATCTACCATACAATTGTAAGTATTGATATTTATACAATATAAATAATAAAATATGCATGATTGATGATTCAATAAAAATTAATAATAAAAATAAAAAATGATGAATGATTCAATAAAAATTTAATAAAAAATAAAGATATTTATTAAATTTAATATTATTAAAATCATATAGAAAATAAAAGAGTTTTTTATTTTTAATCAAGTTTCTTGAGAATATTTTGTAGAGCATAATAGTGAGAAAAAGATAGAGATAGGATAAAAATTATGAAATTAACGCCATCTTCAGAGTGTCACAAATAAAACATATACAATAAGCATAGATAATAGAAAAAGAATAGATATACAATAAAAATTAATCATCAGCGCCATCTCTTGTATGATAAAAGCAGTTTTCTTATAAATAAAATAGAATAAGAATTAATCATCAACGCCATCTCTTATGTGATAAAAGCAGTTTTCTATAAATAAAATAGAGTAAGAATTGAGAACTAGCGCCATCTCTCAAGTTCTCTAAAAAGATAATTTTTGAAGAAATGTTTTTAACATTCAAGAGATGGCGCTGATGATTAATTCCTATTCTATCTTTATCCTTCTTTTATTATTTGCTATCCTTGTTATATGTGTTTCATTTGCGGCACTCTGAAGATGGCGCTGATTCTCAAATTTTTACCATATTTCTATCCTTTTTTTATTATTTACTTTTCTTGTCTTTACTTGTTCTTGATACGTAGCCATAGATATAGAATGTCAATTAATATTCTATTAATTGAAATTTCAATTTTAGGCATGAAATAAAAAAGGTATTGAATATTAGATAATATTGCCTTTTATGGTTCTATGGTATGACAAACATATATATATATATATATATATATATATATATATTCTAAGAAAAATTTTATTAATTTATAGCCACATTAATTTTGAAATATTCGCGCGATAGAATTTTTCATGAATTTGTAACGAACAGATAAATGGCCAAACTTTTTCCATTAAAATATAATTACTTTTATATATTCTCTATAAACTCACTCGGTTTCCTTGTTTGACGATATTTTTTCCTTTGTCTGCTGCTCGACGCGTCGATTCAATTCGACGAGGATATTTCGTTAAAAAAAGAAAATTTACATTAGAATTCATTAAATAATATTGTTATGAAAAAATTATCATTTGTTTTTAATGCAAATTTTAATTACTATGATACCAAATTTTATGGAAAGTTTTATATGCATATTTAAATTATTTTTCTATTCATTTATTTAGAATAATTTTTTATTTAACTCGATGTTAAGATGATCTTACGATCATTTATATAAAATAATTTAAATATTTATGAATTACAAGTTCAAATTACATAATATGAAAAAAGATAAAACTTTATAACAAATCTGATACATAAGTCATGAACTACTTAAAAGTATTTTAAAACCAGAATTATCTTATCTGAATTTATTAAACGGAGTTTTGAAAAGGAGTTTGGGAAAGTAATCGTTATAATAAAAACTGGTATAAATTTTGAGCGTTTAAATTCTTTGAATTCAATAACACACGATCGCAAGTTTCAATGAATCGTTCGAATTTTCGTTGGAGAATTTTGCAATATTTTAATATACATACTCTTTGCATACCTCAGTCCCACTAGCGAGGGCTTCCTCGATTAGCCATTGGGGAGCAGGATCTTCATCGATGTACCAAAATGCCGACGATTTTTTTTGTTTCAAATAAATGCACGGAGAAAATTGATTCGTATCACTCTCTACTTTGTTATCCTGATTTTTCTCGTTAAATTGGATAGCTTCGATAGATGTTTGTGTACAAATTGTTTTTCTTTCCATATCGATTTTTTTATCTAAAATATATATTTATAATATAATAATTATTATATAACTTTGACGATAATGAAATAATTATAAGAAATAAGAAAATCTAGATTATTTAATTAATCGACTTAGATATTTATAATTAATTTTACATTATATTTAATAGTATTTTTATTAATATTATCTGAAGAGCATTTTGTGTGAAAGCTAATAAATGATAGAAGTGTTCTGTGCGCTACTGCCACCTGGTGAAGATTATTTTTATTATTTTGTATGAGATATCTTCTACATCGATAAACCTATACAAAATAATATCATTAAATGTGTTGTAAAATTTTATGCAATAACATTTTTAAGATACAATGTAAAATTAAAGATATATATTTAGAATATAATTAACAATTTGAAGTTTTAAAATTTAATTCTAGGTTTAAAAAGAGTAGTTTTTTTAGAATAGTTTTTACTAAACAAACCTCAGTATTATAAGTTCTAAAATTGCAAACTTCTAAAACATTAGAAGTATTAAAAATTTTAACAATTTTGAAATTTCGAGATAAAGTTCTAAATAATTTCTATTGAAAAAATATCTTTCTGAATAAAAATTAAATCATGCAATATAATTTACTTTAAGAAGAATTTGAATTTCAATTATTGAAGATTTCATTTTTTCTATTTCGGAGGTAATAGGAAATTAAAACAGAAGCATATTCATAAAACAAACTTAACTTAAACTTTAGAGATAAATCAAACAAAAGCGTTTTCTGTAAAGATTACTGTTATTGTTATTTTCTACATTGCAGAGTAACAATAACTTGACAATGTCTAAAGATATATGAACAAACGTTTACAACAAAAAAACAGGTTTTGAAAAAGATAGATAATACAATCGATCAGACACGACTATCGCCAGAACAAAATGAATATACCCCCACTCCAATCTGCTTGGTCGGACCATATTATCGGATATTATCGGACCATATGGAATTTGGGACCGAAAATAGTCCCGTGCAGGAAATTGCTAACGACTTAAACGTTGGGGCGGTGCGCAAAGACCGTAAGTCCCATGGGCCCAGTTATGATGGATGGTGCTTGGCCACTCTGTAATTTGAAGGCGTTATATGTGCATCCTGACACCGTATACTTTGCAACGATCTTCCATATGTCCCCGACTGCTCTTCTTATATAATTCGCACACAATCTTATAATTGACGTCAATTACTTGTGATTAGTCAACATGATTTTTTTTTAATTAGTTTGATGACAAGTGTTTGATTGAAAGTGTTTAACCTCTTTTCATTCGAATGATTATAACTGATCTAATCTGAAGAGATATAAATTATAAGATACTCTCTTATAAATTTATTTAATATGATATAAAAGATTATGGCGTAAAAGATTTATCAATTTGGTGTAAAAGAAAATTCTATTCTATATACATAACCTATAAATTTTTTAATTCTGAATTTATTTCATTTTCTTTCAATTTGAAGTATAGTTTTTATTTAGAAAAGTTAAATTAATAAAAAAGATTAAAAAGTTATGTTACACTCAAGATATTAAACAATGCAAAATTGTAATAGAAACCAGGTGATTACGTGAAGCGTTCAATAAACCAGTACTAATTAGACGAAACAGCTTACATACATAACCTGCATGGACTAATGAAATTTGTTTGTCAATTAAATGGCGTTGCTGGTGAATTTTCCCTATACTTTGCCGCTTGGTCGGTACACTAATTAATTTCCACGCTCGAGTTCACTTTATTTATGCGCGACAGGCTTCAAAATTGCACCACAACCGTGGCTTGTATATTTACGCGGGCAGGTAGACTGCGCAGACCGCAGCATGCAAAAATAGCTCGCCGCGAATTGGGACCGGCGTTTCGCTGACGAAAACATCGCGTACACTCTGTAAATTGATCCCAGACTGAATTGATAGCCGAAACATTCGAGGTTTTCTTTATTTGAAAACGAGAAAAAAAGATAAAAAAAAAAAAAAAAAAAAATAGAAAATAAAAAAATAAAAAAAAAATGGATAAAATATCTTTTTTCATTGTATTGCAATCTGGTTTACGCTGTTCGCGTTGTTTCGATGTATCATGAATATGCATGTAAGGTTAATTTGTTATTTTTTTCCCATTTTAGACAGATGAAGTTAGATTAATTAGTTAATTGATCAAGCATTGTGACACATGAAAAAATATGAAATATTTGTGTATATTCGGTGGTTTTTGAATTTATAATATGATTTTATGGTGTAATAAAAAAATTATTTATCACTATATCAATTTAATATCTAAAATCAAATTAGAAAAAAACAAAATATTTTTCCGTCATTCAATCCATTTCCAATAAACCATTTCGCTACGAAATTTCATTTCGATACGATGCAGATGTACCTATATCCCCCAATTCCTGTTCACTCGGCGACCCAGTACCATGAAATTATTGTAGATAATATGTGGATAGTTAGTCCGCGATTAGTCTGTCCAACGGATTATATTCCTCCCCTTTTCATTCCCGTGGTGCCTCAGGGGCAGCAGCGCCGTGATAAATGACCGAATCCTTTAGTGTTTTTTAGCCGCGGATCGCTTAGCTGATTCGTTCCCCTCCTATCCCCCTACTCGCTGTGCACACGAGCCGTCCTTTCCCCTGGCCCTTCCTGTCCCGGAACCTGTGCCGGCTGGACGAAGGTCGCCGTTACAATTTCGCCGTAAATCATTGCAAATCGTTGACGTAAAACGGCACGGGTAATTAGATACACTAACCTGCGACAGACCGCGTTTCTTGCGCGCCAGCGAGCAACAAAGAGGCATCTTGCTCCCGATTCATTGTATTCCTCTCGTTCTTCTGTAATGAATAATAATGATAACGTTTATTGCAAGATTTGGGATTGATCATTTGATTTAAAATTATTTTTTAGAATATTGTGGAATAAATGTTATCGAAAATTTTTCGATTTGGGAGAAAGAAGAAAAATATTTTTATCTATTATCAATTTTTGAAATAATTTATTTATATATTTTTATATTCAATAAAAATTTCTAATTATTCGCAATTATGTATATAAAAGTTAAAAATATATAGAATACAAATATCAATAAATAATCTATAAAAGAGCAACTTCATTAATGCATTTTCATTTTAGGAAACAATATCCTTATACAAATAACTAAGATTTTTCGCGTAAATTGCGACGCTATGGCTAATTTCGAGATCCGTGTTTATAGTCGAATCCTTTTAACTAAGGCAATAGGGAGCCGTAAGAAGTTCTATCGTGAACGAAAAAAAAGGGGAGACAGTAAGATTTCGTCATTAATGACACGCCTCGTATTTTGTTTAGTAGGGAATCTACCCTCGTTAGGGATCGTTAGAGTTTTAATACCATAAAGTCTCCCTTGGAATCAGTGGCACGTGGTGTGCCAGTAAGTACATGGGTTAGCTTTCGCTTCTTAAATTTTTCCCCAAGAACGTTCATATTTTCATTTGATGTCATTAACGAATTACGTGTTATGTTTTTTTTTTGGCAAAGTTATAAAAGGAAAATTGCGTTAAGGTGTACGTTAACGGGGATGGTTTATTAATCGTAAAAAAAATAAACGTTTTTGTACATGGGGAAAATTGCGGAATGGTTTTTAAGGTTAGAATCGAATGATTTTATTAAGACTTTACACGTTGTGTTTTTTTAAGATCATAGACGGAGGAATAAATAATAAATTACTAGATCATTTTTTATTTTCTAATAAAAATTAAAATACCTGTAAACTTTTCAATTCTTTGAATGAAAAGAATTTTTCAATTCCATCAATTGTTATAACTTTTATAATCTCTTCAAGAAAATATTTAATGTACTAGCATAAGTGATTCAAACCAATGATTTAACCACATCCATATAAAATTGAATCTCGAATTACTTTAATTACAAATAACATTATGATACGATATAACATACGAGGAAGAAGCGCGCACGACTGAATTAGATGGCGCACAATCCGTCAAGGCTACAACAAAATCACTTATAGACGGCGTAAATGTCGCTGTTCAATTACATTTAATGCCGTGGCGGACACATCACGAGTCTAAGGCGGCCATAATCGATGAATAAGCGAGCTTCGCGGATTCCGTGGAAAAGCGGCAAATGTGATTTTAATGTCAAGCGACTCACGAGGCCTCGTATTTTCCATGGGCGTGTCTCTAACGACCGGACTCTCGATGGCCCGCAGCTACTTTTACCATTTTGTTACGTTACGTTAGGTTATGTTGCATTCGTTCGTGGCTCGCTGATGCTGCTCGGCGCATCTATTATGAATCGCGAGGCGGGTCGGACTATTTCGAATGGGAATTGTGAAAGTTGTATGTATTTGTGAGATTTAAAGTGGTTTTAGGTGAAGTTAGTGAAGTGGAATTGGTGAAATGTTGATTTGAAGAGAGATTTCAATGGACGATGTATGTGATGTCTTTTGATTTTCAATTGATACAATTATCATTGATTAAAGTATTTATTTATTATAACTATTCACAATTAATTTTATTTGAAATCTAATGTCAATGGCTTTCTCCAATGAATCACATCATCAGTTTAATAATTATATGATTATAATTGAATCATCAAGATTCGTCTCGGTTCTGTTTCATTGAGCTCTTCAATAAGAGTACACCTATAATTTATAACGTGCTTTCGGTATAAGCCTAATGGAAAAATGCATAGCCAATTTTATGCACAGGTGCCAAGCCAGATTATTGGTTGGGGCAACTGAACGAGGAAGAAAAAGATGATAGACAAAAGAGAATAAGAAACGAAAGACTATAAAAATTGGGATTTAATTTTTGAATGAATTGTCGATCATATGTAGTTTCTTCACACTAAATTATAAATATGAAAAATTGATATTATGGTTTTTATATTAGTTTTATATTTATAGTTGTATACGTTATCATATATTATATATAATTAATTTGTATTTTAATTTCATGAAAATTAATTTTAAAAATTGATTAATATATTGTGTCATTTTTAAACATTAAAATCTATATTTTTTTATCACCCTGTATATATACATACATATACATATAAAACAAAAAAACAAAAGTTTCGTCCTCGTTTTCAACGCGGATATCCCTTCGGATGAATAAATGTTATTCAATATCCCTCGCGTTCCGTCGACAGATTTTCATTTACGGATCGCGGACCCTATGTATGGGGATTCAAAACCAACGCGGGTATCGCTGTATCAGCGTCGGCGGCCGCTCCAAGCGTGTTCCGCGGTGTTCATTTCAATTCGCCTCTAATTGAACGCTGTTCAATATTGACGAGTTAAATAATTGTCTTTGGAAAACTGAGCTCTGCGTAACCGTTAATCATTCCTCTCGTCGGCTCGTCGCGTTGTGCACGCGATCCCATAATAATTCGCGTCCTGCCGCGAGGATGGAGAAAAATGAAAAATGAAAAATATATTCAACTCGTATATATTTATTCGAGATGCACAAGCACAGGAATTTTAAATGATAAAAATTAAATGTTACGTTGGTACGTTTGAAATCTTGTTATTTCAGATATTTAATAATCTGATAATCTGATTTTCGATATTATATATTTATCAAATTTTATGCTCTTCGTTCAAATAATATCTTTAAATATTAATCTTTTCAGAGATATATATTTAACTTTTTTTAAATTTAAATTATTCTATATATATAAAAACTAAAATCTGAAGAATTCTTCACTACAGAATCTTTTAATATTAAGAATAAAAAATGTCGAAAAATTAATAATATTTTATTTTGACAATCACGAGTGAATATATTTTTCATTTTTAAAATTTTTATCACTTTGCTGAAATTAATTTTATGTTTATTAACTTTATTAACTTTATGTATCAACGAAATGTTAACAGAAGAGAATAAAACATATTTTCAAAAAATGAGAAAAGAAAAAGAGAAAAACAAAATGATTAAAAAAATAAGAATAAAAAATACGAGCTAATCGAAGGATAAGTATCGCGGTCCCCAGCATCATAAGCAAGTAACAACCTATACATTCTCGGACGTAAAGATGTCTCGGCAGTCGGTTCAGTTATATCTTCATTATAAGACCGACAGACTTACGTACTGCCGCGGCAGGCTCGTGGTGCTCAAAATTATGTGCCGCCCGCAGTTATCATTGCCTTCAGGGTCAGCTGCACGAATAATTGGCTTCCACCCATATAATATCCTACGTATACTTCTGGCCGACTTGTGTCCGCGTGTGTAAAAGCTATTCTACGTCCCACGATTATCCTTATAGTTGATTCGATTCATTGGCAAGTTAATCATTATATTCGATCATAGCGAGATCATATGTTAGGCTGATGAAATCGTTTCATAATTTTAGCGATACAAATAAACTTTAGAATACAAAGTTTTTATTATATAAAATATCTTTAAATTAAATTTCACGCAATAAGTTCATTTCCAATTTACTTAATTCTTAACTTTATTCTTTACTTCTAATAATTCTTTACTTAACCTCTATCTTTTTCTTATATTATTATTCTATTGCAAATCTATTTTCAAACCTAACCTCTATTTTTTATTTCACTTAACTATTCCACGGATGTGGACCATCGTACATAAAGCAACGAGCAACCGTCGTGCTTATCCGGTCGCTACGAATTCGCGACATCGTTCGAGGGTACCGAGGCGTGCCAAAGGGTAAAAGGAAGCGGCTACAGACCGGAGAAAGGAAGATCCTTCTCCTTCGTCTTCTTCTGCTTCGGGGTGCCTCGAACCGCGTTTGAGAATGCAGATACATAAATTCATGAGCGAAGTAACAACCGGTGACGCCACGCTAGCTTCCGTGCCGCGGTGAGCTGCGTCGCGCGGCAATCGTATTCATGAACCGACACGGTAATTAAGGACACTAGCTCGCCTTGCAGCCGGAAGTCGCATCGGGAATCCTCCCTGCGCGGTCTGGAACATCGCCGGAAATACTTATGCATTCTGTTCGTTTCGTAAAGAAAACGCGAGTAGAACACTGGAATCGCGGTGCGACTGACGCGACGTCTGCACTCAAAGTTCGATAAACTCTAGCGACGCCTAGCGAGTTAACGGACGAAGAAGAGCGTGTTAAAGTGATTGTGAAGATAGTAATTTGATAGATGGCGCAGGAGGTAGCATAGATCGTTGTTCTTTACTTTCAAATTATTTTATTTCATTTCTATCTTTGAATTTTTCTAACATTTGTTCTTTAAATCAAATCGCACTTCATTATTTTCTACTATAATAATATTATTTATTTTAAAATTTTCTTTTCGAATCGAATTCATCTAAAGCAACCATTTTTACAGGTTAATTTTCCATTTTCCTGCACACGAATTCTTTGCTACTCAACTCAGCGAACGGTGTTACACGACACCGGTAATTACCGTCTAAAAGCGATCGTTGCTTTTCTAGCAATTAAACATCCAAGG